CCGGCTTCAGAACGCACCGACTCCACAGCGCACGTGCAGTCGCCCATCAATATTTACTTCCCGTGGAAGCGTTTGTTTGCTTTAGGGTACTCAGCCATTAGGTTGCCAAGTAACGGATACTTTCATGAATGTGCTAATGCACTGCGGTTGTTAAAGATTGTGGCCGCTACAGCGCTTTCAATTCCCTTCACTCGCCGTGCATGCAAAATACGTTATGCCACAATTACGTGTGGTGTTTTAGTTGTTAGGATCTAATGTATGCCGTTGCAACGTAACACGGTTGGATCTACAATGCTATTTAAAAGTCTAGGATTATAAATGTCATTGACATATTGTCTGTGGGAGCTCGTTTGTAGTCGTTAGCTTATGGTTGATAAAAAATTCAAAAAATATTTTAAGAATTTTGACGCTGTAATGTTTTCGGATACATGTATATTTTCACTATAATTTATTTGTAGTGTACAGTGCTATACTACTAATATTTAATTTACAGTAATATTTAAAAAATAAATTTTGTGTATTTTATGTTATTTAGGACAAGTTTTTACACAACGAGTCCCAAACTAAGCAAAGGTTGTACTATGGGTACTTGACTTGTTTTTAATATGGGTCTTCTATCGATGTATTGCTTTCTGCTATTTCTTTGTCTAGTGATTTGTTCAATCGCATTTCGGATCACGTAGATTTTCATTCTTACAGTTATTGGCATTATACATCTGGTGCAAATTTGCAACTTTGCTTACGTTTTAAGTCACAGTTTTACGTCGTGCCATATTCAAAAATGTAATATTATGTTCATGCTTAGATTGGGCCGTTATTACAGCTACGAAGGTTTTCATTTTGCATGTGTAAAATACTACATTATGGGTTAATGCTATATTATAGATTTACTAACTGACCCGGCAAACGTTGTTTTGCCATATAAATTATCTGTAGGGTAGAAAAAAATGTTTGGGGTGGACCACCTTTAACATTTAGGAGGATGAAAAATAGATTTTGTCCGTTTTTCCACCCTGGCCGATATGCACACAAAATTTCACGAAAATCGGTCGAGCCCTCTTGAAGGAGTTCAATTACAAACACCGTGACACGAGAATTTTATATATTAGATTGTTGATTTTAAATCGTTTTGGGGGTATTAAGTATAGTAAATTGTATATAATTATATTGAATTTTAGGTATTATAATATATAATAACGTCATATCCCTCAGTTTCATCGATTAAAGTTTAGATTTATTAAGATTAGAGTTTCCATAGTACATTTTGAATGGGCTCATTTTAAACTTATTGAATCATTTTAATTATTGAAATATTTCTGGTATAATAAACATGAATATTATCATTTTGCAATTTTTTATGGTAGGACTAATTATGAATATTTTTTTTTCATAAGTCGCCCTTTTAAAAATGGTGAAGGCCTCTAAACAAAATTAAACTTACTATCTTTTTTGTTTCAGCTGAACATTTTCCGAGAGTAAATTGATAATTTTGGTTGATTGTTTGTTTTAATCAAAATAGGATGGACTGACTATCCGGAAGTTTAATTCTTCTAGAAATGTATTCGAATTTTGAATATCAAAAATACGCAATCTTCTTTTCCCACTATGACCAAGATTAACAATTACTCGGTTTTTACTTAAGTTCCTCTCTGACGAATTTCATTTTATCTGTGCAATTTGTGCAATGTGTACCAAGAAAACGTGTATAGGTACAGCGTGTCGTTATCATCGCGACAATAAATGAATGTACGTCTAACGCTACTTGCCAATAATCATAAAAAAATATTAACGTTAAAAAAAATCCATAATTAAAAAAGAATATTTTTCAAACAAACTAATTAAATAAAAAAGAAACAACATTTGTAACATCCTATACTACTGCAACTGACTGATTCATACATTCAGAGACTTTTTCATTCGTTGCCACGGCGTCGCATTACAAGTCTCTCATTCTAACATGTATGTTTTGTCTCTTTTAAACTCATTCAACCCATTCATATGCTTTGTAACTTTTACAAATGAACTTTACGTTACAGTTTTATACGTAAGGGTGTTCTAAAATTCTTTGTTTTGGAAAATTTAATAACTCTGTAAATATTGATGTTTAAAGAATGTAGCTGTTTAATACAATTTTAAAAAGTTATCCTCTATATGTGTGTTCATTTATTGTCGCGATTGTAAAGACACGCTGTATATTAAAACATGCAGATGTGGTCACTGGCTTCAGCCATTGTTAAACACACTCGATATAATAGTTCGTATTAGGTAGTGATTTAGCATTAAAAATTCAAAGGAACGACCGGAATTCACGAGCTTCTTGAAATTATCGTTGCGATATTCATAAGCAATTGCTCACAGCCGGACGTTACACGCTGCGCAACCGTGTTTTTAAAATTCCAACTATAGGAAATATTAAGAAGATAAGTACATTTTTATTAACAAAAAAACAAAATTTACTTCAAATATTTCACTCATTATACCTACATATTCTATTTGTTTTTGAGGAGTTCTCATGGGAACTCCTCAAGACATACATCAGTATCTCGAGTTCAAGGTCCAGTACCAATGAACCATATGGGAGCTGAACCGACCCTAATGTAAAGACAATTTTTAAAATCGGTTCATAAATGACGGAGTTCTAAGGTAAAAAACGTAAAAAAATGCGATCGAATTAAACATCTCCTTTTTTGAAGTCGGTTTAAAATAATAACTATAAAATTCTTTCATTTTACATTTTTCTTCTTTTTTGGGCACGCTTGAAGTCGAAAAATATATTTGTTTGAAAAAGCAAATTATTATTTTTATAACAATATTACTTAAAGTGTACATACGTGAACTTTAAATATGATTAATTTAACATTAAAAAGTATTGTAATATTTTCATTTTATAATTTTATTGTATATTTTAATGGTTAAGCCGTGATAGCTCAGTGTCCGGGCGATCGCCTATAATCCAATATACTCGAGCAACCTGAGTTCGATCCCCTGTGCCAGCACCAATGAAATTGTTAATTTTAAGTGCTGACTTATCGTGTTCGGCGGTGAAGGAAAACATCGTGAGGAAAGCTGCATATTTTCGAAATAATAAAAAATTCGAAAGTATGTGAAGTCCGCCAATCCGCAGTGGGGTCGGTGGACTATGCCTGATAGCCTCTTTACAGAGGAGGCCTTTGCCCAGCAGTGGGACATTTATAGACTGTTACTTAACTTTTTAATGGTTCCCCGTTTGATCCATGCCATTATTAATACTTTACATTGGTAACCTGAGTTTAGCGGTAACAAAATATTTAATTAATTTTAACGTAGTTGTACGTATGGCTTTATATTAATTAGCATGCACACCCTGAAATTATGTCGATATAAATTTTACCACTGTCAGATCCAACACTTTTACTATCGAGGTTAACAATTAACTTGTGATATAATAAATATAGGTATATAAAATATCTATTTTTGTCTTTCTTGTTTGTTGACGTAAGGCCCGTTATATATGTATATACTTCCACTATACACTTATTTTTGGAATATAGATCAAACACTTGACTTTTTGCTTGAAGGTTAAGTATGCATTTTCCATATCTAATCTATTGTTTCAGTTTACATAATAATATAATCGATAATATATTTAGGTACTTTCATTATTTCATTGCCTGTTAAAATTTTTGTGGTTGCTATAAAAACATTACGTACCTTTTGTAACCGCTCGTTTGGCGATTGAGGATGTTATGAGCAGAGTAAAATTATTCATATCCTTCGATGACAGTCACAATCATAACTAACCTCTTTATGGTTATGTAATGTTTAATTATTTTTGAATAATATTATTCGCTTAGAAAGTAATCGGTTCAAACGAATTGTTGCTTAACATTCTTTAATTTTTTAAATGAATATTATTTGAATTTTCCTTTATATTATCGCAAGGCCTAAGACAATACAAATAGCTTTAATTACTCATTCTTAAGGTATTCTGTTGGTGTCACTGATGGCAGGTGGTGATTCATTTTAAAACTGTTACACTGCAATGACATGGCGTTAACTGTATTGATTTAACTGGCGCGAAACCAGAAGACGCAGGTTCGATTCCCACAGAGCTGAAAGTTTTTGTTCATTTATTTACAAAACAAAAATTACAATTTACTGTATTGATTTATTTAAAAATGTACCTAAAATAACTTATTTGCTTCCAGGCATGTTTTTGAGTGAGAAATTAATTTTTAAATTTGACCACTATCTACTACCTCGGCTTACAGCACGCTACACTGGGCACAGTTCCAAATAATGTTTGAATGATTTAGGGCAGAATAATGCCCAATCGAACGTATAACAATCCCTACCTATCTCGAGCAAGGCGAGGCCCCCCGAATGTGTGGAACTCTTCATTAGTTGCGTTTATTTTATCGCTTTAATAATGGAATTAATTGACAATAGGATATTATTATGCTATCGCTATTTTATAATACTTTAAATTTATTTTTATGACATAACAGAAATAGAAGAGCATAAATTGAAAAATGACAACTACGCCATAATAATATATCGTACACGTACGAAACTAGCTAATTGAAGTCTCAACGATAATGTGTATGATTAAGTGATAAGATATAGACAAATGAACCTTTCAAACAAATATTGTTTCAGTCGAGCTAAAGAACCGAGCGTCATGTCATTGGCGAGGGATTATTATGTATATAACCTAAGAGAATATAAGTGTTAGTCAGATGTAAAGTGTACTCGGACACGCGTCTATTGTGACTACGTTCTGTTCAGAATAAAACGAATACAGGCAAAATTGTGTCCGCTGTGTTAGGTAAACAATTGCTGTGAAGGTTGAAGCGCCGATTTTACTCAGTTTCCTCCAGAGCATTGGATTTATTCGATCGTTGTTAGTTCTTCCTCAATCCGATGACAACTAATTGGATTCAGTGTTCGTTCAATGTATAGTCTTGAGTATTTTTATAAGTTTAATTATGTTCCAAGTGTTCAAAAAACGATTTAGTACAATGAAACGCGAAAAGAAGAAGCCAACAGATCTAGATATTGCGGTGAGTTGTTTATGTGTGTGTGCAGGAAGTGAAAGATTTCATTTAAATAGCACAGTTGTGCGTCAACAAAAATGTATTATACGGCTATCGTACAAAAACAAACAAATTCCTGACAAACTTATACATATAAGCCCGGTTTTGTTTAACTCTTAACAATGTGTCTGCTTTGATAAACACCGGATAGAGACAAGCGGTCTGAAAGAGATCAGTGAGCTATCAGTGTTTCTCTTGTGAGCGGGGGGACAGTCGCCCAAGTTCCTCTTACTTTCAATTAGTAATATTTTAATATTTAATAAATACTTTAATGAACAACGCACACCGATGGATGCCTACAAATAACATGAAGTGTGCCGTATGTCTCTTGCGGCGTACGTCCATGTTGCAATTGCTTCGCGTGTACAGCTGTCACCTGGGCGATACTTCCTGCGCTTACCCCACTTGGCTGGACGTTCAGAGAGAAATGGTAATTAAGTTTTTTTCGTCTCTCGCTCTTAAAGACTGCTTGACATTTCATTGACCTTTAGTCGTATTCGAAAATTTCTCTGCGCAACAGTTTGGTTTCAATTTTAACTGATTATGGCTAGGGATAAACATTTAGACCAGGTACAGATAATCTTAATGAAGTCCTTGATAATATTTTAGTATAAGTTATGATATTAGTATAGATCACAAATATAAAAGGCAATAGGAAAATATGCAGCAACTGTTACTCGAAAACTTGTCCATTTTATTTTTGGTCGATTCGTTTCAATCGTTTTACCAAGTTCAAGTTTCCTTTAACGGACAAGTTTATTAGAGTTCCCGTGTTTGCACAGCGATGTATTGGTAGATTGTTAAACCATATTAATAGAACAAATCTCAGCGGGCTCAAACGGTCGTTGTACTTATCTAAACTGCACAAGTTTATTTCCACAGTGGCGTCATTCTGAATAAGTATCGTCCTGACTTATGTCTATGAGTCGAGCTATATTATCGTCGCGTCGTAATATATTATAGATAGATGTAATTAGATTTAACGTCTTCACCCCAACCTATCGCATGAATAATTTCGAGCTTTAATAACTTATTTGACATTTGAATGAACAAAGAGAAATCTCAACTGTAAATATTATTCCGCGCGTCAATACATGTCCGTTGGAAATGAGCCGCTCGAATAAACCCAGTGAATGCCTCTACTTGAAAACCGTTTAATTGCCATCTGCTTGTGAGCAATGTTTATATCGGCGCGTACACACGGAGCTCATGGCTCGGTCAGATGTGCATGTGCATAAGAATGTGATTCACGTGTACAGGAGGTGTAAATAAACTCTGAAAACGAATAACGACAATACTTTCAGCGTCATGATGTTACGAATCAGTTCCGTCCTGTGTTATATCCAGGCTGCTTGATGCAACGATATACGTTAATCGACGTGAATCGACACGGCAATTGAATGCTATAAGTTTTGTCGTTTTCGAAGTAGATCTATATTTACGAGTGCAAGTTCTGCGTGAATCACCGCTTTCGTGATTCTCACTACTATTATTGAGCAGCCATACGCGAGAACCGCTATAAGACGCTTTCGCTTTTACGTACTTCACAATTGCGCCAATGTTGTATTGCTAATGCCTCTAACGGCGGACGTTATTACAATTACTAAGTATGTAGGAGGTTTCGTGCGGAAGGACCTCCCAATATACTTAATTACATCCATTTTTATTCTATTTGTTTTGATATTGGGCCGTGTTTACACTTTTATCTTGTGTTCAAAGTTATTGTATCGAATCTTGCTTAATCATCAAGTGGATAAACCTCTCGAATGTCGACACAGATAGCTGTAATATTACACAGTCGCCTTGTGTCGATGAATCACCAGACGCCAGCGCGGAGCCGGCTAGACCGACTCACGGTGTGAGTACTAACTTAGCGCCACCAGCTGCCTACGTCTCCCCCGTACAACTCTTTGTAAGATTAATGACCGACTAACTCTTGACTCTCCAGACGTTTAACGAAGACAAGGCGGCCATATAGATATATATTAATATATTTATAGATATACATATATTGGATGTTATATGTATTTTGTATAAGTATTTTTTGTGACAATATTTGCATTTTGATAATTATTTATGTTCATATAACTGAACTCTCTGCGCACTCTTGACTTTTCTTCAATACTGTTTATTATTCAGTTTTGATTAGCACTCATTGGCGCGATTCTAAAATGTTCGGTTCGACCAGGTCTATTAGGTTGTACCAGTTTTTTGTGACGCTATGCTTAGCTTGATTACTCACATCTGTAAGCAATCTATTCGTAAAGTAGGGTCATAATTTTTTGCTAGTTGGTGCGAAAAATAATTGCAGATTAACGTAATCTTTAAAATAAGATAATAACAATGATGTGGTAAAGAGTTGGGTATAAATATTACTTTTGCAACATCGCATCTTTAAAATAAGACAAAATTTGTATGTTACATGCTGAAAAATATCGGGCCGAAAGGAAAGGCCCACTTTAATAAAAGGTGGGCACGCATCTGTAACTCTACCGGCGTTGCGTACGTCCATGGGCGGCGTTTATCACTTAACATCATGTGAACCAGCCAGCCAGCTCGCTCGCCGCCTTCTCCAATTAAAAAAAACCACCAACATTTTAAATTGGGTCCGTTTTGCCCGCAGCTACAAAGTAAACGGGAGCTGTTCTTCAAGTCGGAGTCGGTGAGCGGCAGTGCGACGGGCGTGCCGAGTGGTGCGCCGCCCGCGCCTCCCGTAGGCGCCTCCGCGCTCAAGGACGCGCTCGCCAAGCGCTCGGCGACGTTGCCCGAGCAGCACGACACCAACCACCACGAGCCGAATGGCATCAAGGTCAACAGCGCGCCGTCTGACGTCGCCAAGATGGCGCCCCCGCAGATGCCCGCGCCGCCCGTGCCCACCGCCGCCCCCCCATTGGCCCCCACCGCGCTCAGGAGCACGGACAACGTTAAGGTTCGTTCCTGTCTTCGTGTGCTTCTCTCTTAAATAGAAGGTAGCAGTGCATCTAGAACGAGCGCCTCATCAGTGGCAGCAGCAGCATTTATGGCCTGGAAGAGCTCTACCACTCCACCCGCGTCCCGGCGGGGTTCTCTCCTGAATGACAATACCGTAGACAGTAGCCAGATCTATGGACCGCATCGTCATCTTCGATGACCTATCACACAAGTAAAAATGCGTGACTCTATCAGCTTATGGCTCACCCGACTTGTGGAAACTAGCTGTTACACTGCATCAGTGTAAGATAGAGCTTTATGTAGTCTCCGAATTGAAAGTGTTAATCCTCCGTAAATACAAGATGATCTCTTACTGCTCCCATTCTACGAAACGTCAAGCTATAAAAAATTCTCTTTACCCCTATCTGCTGATGTTTTTCCCTACGATTTTGTCAACATTTTTTGAAATAGTTGAAAGTGTAAATTAACGATTCTCGCTTATTCGTGTTGCTAAGATTAGTAATATAGGGTAGAAGATATTATAAGTGCTATATTAAATTCCATACTTTTTCCAGCATAGAATTATTATGCCTTCATGTATTATTTATGCATGCCATTTGGCTATTTGTTTCTTTAGCGAGTTATTATTTCAGGCAGTGAATAAGGCAGTAGATGATTATTTGTCATTATTGCCCTTAACGATTCACAACCTCTGATGCTTATAAATGCCGTTTAAACAAACATCAATTGTTTAAATTGGCGGGCATACGTGCCTTTATTAAGTACGGCATATGTTTGTCTTTATATGAATGCGAAATCCGTTGTTTTAATGTTTGTTCAGTCATGAGTTAATATAAAAACACTGAACGATATAAAGACATGGACCTATTAAGATTTTTTTTTCAAAAACGAAGAAAATTACTGTAATAACGAAAATATAAGTTGATTCATAACCATATTATAGAGAAATGGTACGATAAATTTTACTTACGGATAATCTTGATCTCTTATAGCCCTTATAAATAATGAAAAGTGTAATAATACATTAATAGACAAAAATAAACATTTTAAGTTTCATCTTGGGTGCAGAAACTAGCACTTAAAATAAAATAAATCATAAAAAAAATTTGCAAAAAAAAAAATATAGGAGACACTAATCGAGCTTCAGTTTTTGTTATTATAATTTTAGAAGATCGAGCATCCGCCTGTTGCGCCAAAACCGGAATTACCTAAGATAGAGAAACCAAAGACCAAAGAATTAGACGGCTACGTTGGTTTCGCGAATTTACCAAACCAAGTGTACAGGAAAGCGGTGAAGAAAGGATTCGAATTTACCCTAATGGTGGTTGGTACGTATGAATATCTTTTATTAGTCTTGTTAAAATTATTATATATATATAAAGAGTTTCGTTTTTTTGGTTTGTTTGGATTTTATACATTTTGCTATCTGGCATTGATATCCGGAGAATGTTGGCAAGACTCATCACACATCGTTAACTTTGGCTCGTTACTTTTAACTATTTCTTTACCGCGTTACGTAAAAATACTCGAGCGCTTGTTAGTAACGTCTTAAACCACTATTGTAATTGCTATAAATTTGATGATTACTGGATGCAAAGAAGATGCACATGTTGATTTCATTTATTTCATTAAATTCATTCATTACAAATGAAAATGTTTATTTGCTAACTTCAATATTTATAAATATAACGTTTCTTATTTATTATCTAGTTTAAGATTTAATTAAATTATATATCAATGAAAATGTATCTCCAAAAAGGATAATTTGCCCATAACAAGGCTCAATGCTTACGTAACCGAATAGCGGTCTCTCGGTGCGTGTACAAAACGTGCGCTATTCCCGTTTGCAGGTGAAACGGGCCTGGGTAAATCGACGCTAATCAACTCGCTGTTCCTAACGGAGGTGTACGACCGGGACAAGCACCCCGGGCCCTCGTTGCGGGTGAAGAAGACGGTCGGCGTGGAGACGAGCGTCGTGCTGCTCAAGGAGAACGGGGTCAACCTGACCCTCACGATCGTCGACACGCCGGGCTTCGGCGACGCCGTGGACAACAGCAACTGGTGAACCTCCATTTTTCGGTCAATCGCCCGTTCAGCACAGGCAGCTCGTTTTCGAAATTCGGCTCAGTATTTTTTTTATAATGGGAATAGGAGGCAAACAAGCATTCGGGTCACCTGGTGATAAGCGATCACCAGGTTACCATTATTATTATATTATTATTATTGGTATTCTCCGTGCCAGTATAAATCGAAACTGTTACCCATATCTATATCGATCTATAGGTAATTCCGATACCTTATTTTTGCAATGTAATATCAAGGTATAGTTTCGGAATAAAACTGAAGTAAAATTGGACTTTCGCTTAATTATCTATTGCAAAATTATTTACAATTTATTTTAAATGAATATTTAATAATATAATTATACAACTTGTTAATTCCGTCGTCAACTAAGTGCCTCTCGAATGAAAAAAAAACGTTAATTCAGAAAAAATATTGAGGTCAGTCAGTGAGGTTTTCGGCTCTCTCCCGTGACATGCTGAAGTAAATCAGAATAAAGTATAAATCAAAAGTGAACCGCGATAAAATCCGTCAAGTAGTTTTATTGAAATTAAAATTAAAATTGAAATTTTTCGTGACGTTGAGAATGATATATTAATTTACATTAAATTGTATTATAACGGAGTGGCTTCATTCACGTAGTCCAATTATTCGTTGGTCCTTATAGTTCGTTGTTTATGAATACATCCTTTCGTGCCTAATTTAAAATTGACCGCTATAATACGTTTCCTCAATGAACGATTCGCATAAATTAAACGGACTTTTTGGTCGCTTCGAGGCCATTTCGAAATGTGGTGCATATAGAGATATCTATCAAAATGGTTCTTTTTATGTGAAAAGTTGTCAAGAGAGATGCGTTGACAACCTTTATAAATGTGGGCCCCGGTTAACTCACTCACCAGAGGAAACGCAAAAATTTAATACTTTCACTTCACGCCGGCCTTCTGTAATGCCGTGGTACTTCACCGAACAACCCTGTTCATTCGTGCAACATCAGAAGCTGTTGCGTGGTCCTACCACAGTTAAATGTCATCCTCTAGTATTATAACCTCAAAACCCGTTGCAAATTTGCCAACTTTCTTGTAACGTTGTTGACGAAACGTGCCATTTTCCGATCAAGAGTATACCAGTAACTGCATTTAATTTATGTACCTTCAGCTCGCTTATGTGTTCACAACTTATTAAGGAGCGCTTAAACAGCTCCCATGCATAATTTGTATGGATCCCATTACTGTTACATATCCAACATAACGGCGTATTGATAAACATCGGCCGGTCGACTCATTGGTCGTTCGCCCCGCAGCTGGCAGCCGATAATCGACTTTGTCGAGTCGAAATATGAGGAGTTTTTGAACGCGGAGTCGCGGGTGGCCCGCAAGGCGGCGCCGCCTGACACGCGCGTCCACTGCTGCCTCTACTTCATCGCCCCTAGCGGCCACGGCTTGAAACCGCTCGATGTAGAGTTCATGCAGCGGCTCGGCGACAAGGTCAACATAATACCGGTCATCGCCAAGGCTGACACCATGACGCCCGAGGAGTGCAAGGACTTCAAGGAGCAGGTGGGTTTTCTTTTTAAGTAAAACTTTTTACGCACGCTCGGCTTGGGGAATGCGACGAGGGCGTTACAAAGTGTTATCGGCGTTACGAAAAGTGTGATGTTACGCGAACGGCGACTTCTTGATTACTTTAATTTAATTTCGCTCTTGAACAATTTTATAAATTAATTTTTAATACATTAAACATTCTACATGAATACAAGTGAATAAAATTGTATGATGGAGATACAGATGACATATAGATGGTGCTAAAGAAGTTTGACTTCAGTAGCGTGGTCTAAAGAACACTCATCTTCTTTGAGTTTTTATTTCCTTTGGCTTGTTTGGAAAAAAATATTAGAGTAAAATTTTCAAGATGCGCGCGGCACGCCGACAGCCAAAAAGCGACATGATGAAGTTGGTTGCGAATTGTGAGCGACCAATTTCACGGTATCGCCATGGCAACGCAAGTATATTTAATTATACCGTTATCGATTGCATTAAATGTATTTTTCAAACAAACAAAAAGAAAGATACACAGGGGATGCATATTTTCATTATTTTTCTTTTGTTACTCTAAAGAAGTATAACTTCTTACGTGCGTTTTTTATATAGAAAAGTAGGCAAACTAGCAAAAGTGAATAACCTGATGGTAAGCGATCACCGCCGCCCATGGACACTTGCAACACCGGTGGAGTCAGCGAGCGGCGACACCCATATCCAAGCTTCCACACCAGTTTCCGAACGAAACTGTGCATTTTATCGCGTTTGATCGCGGTCTTAATTTTTTGTTGAGATTTCGATGAACGTGAATAGGTGTCTCTATAGGCGAAGTTTTAAAGCTTTTAGCTTTTTATTTATTTGAAAAAGTGGTAAACGAGCTGGCGGTTCACCTGAGGCTAAGTAATAACCGCCGCCCATAGACATTTGCAACACCCGTAGGGTTGCAAATGCGTTGCCACCTTTAAATAAAGTGGGCCCCGGCTACCTCACTCACCAGACGAAACGCAGAAGTGTTACACTTCTACTTTACGCTGGTCTTCTGTGAGGTCGTGGTACTTATCCGGACGGACCTGCCCATTCGTGCAACAGTGAATACTGTTGCGTGGCCCTACCACAGCTTCAGGGAAATATTTATGTAACCCATAGGCTATTGTTCCGCTTGTGGGTGTTTGTCCGTGTGGCAATTTTTCAAGGTCCTTACAACGCAGGATAATCTTATCCTACAATTAGGAGATTGTTTTTCTAAAACAAAGTGAATTTTTCGCAATAGTTAAGCGTACCAAGTGCGGGTACTAGTTACCATGTCACACAGTCGGGAATATCGTATCTTAGGACGTCAATAACTGAGACAGTTCCGTAAAGATGATTGCTTGAAAGTACTCGAAACCTAGCGAGTTACAACATTATGAGGTGCAAAATCCGTAATCTGTATTTCATTTAAAATAATTAGTTATTTGAACAGATGGATTTGTAACACGTGCCATTTGCGTGAGCTCTTAATAATGCTCACTGCGACATTTACAATTTATTTATTTATCGTTCACGGCGCCGCGCGGTGAACTGTCGTAATACATTCGGGCCGTGAAAACATTTTCCCGCCCGTTAAATATAAATCCCTGCTAAAATCGACCGTATAATATATACAATGGCTTGGTTTACGGATTGTCGATAATCCCGTCCGGATGTGAACACGTGCTGCGTATACGAATTGTGAACGGTCACATCCGTAATAAGGTGTTTAATAATAAACAGAAAGCTCTTATGACGCATTGTAGACGTTTGGAAATTGGACCTATTATTGTTAAACGGTTTTATTTAGCTCGACCCGTACGGAATTTATTTGTTTATTTGGGTCAAAATTAGAAATTGAAATTTAAGCACCTTCCCGTTGTCAGATTGATCTGAAATTTGGTACAAACATTTAATTAAGATGACAATACAATATTGTAGTTTTCAGTGCACAAAAAAAAAAACATAAAATAAAACCGTTTAACTTAAAAGTTTTTAAACGGTTTTTTTTTTGGTTTAATTTATCGACATTGTTAAACGTAAATGAAACTAATTTTTACGGATTTATCGCGTTTATGGTCACGGGACAGACTGTTCCGTGACCATGAACGTTGTAAAGGGTTCGAAACGTCGGGAATTAATATTAAAAATAAACGCGATAAATCCGTAAAAATTAGTTTCATTTATAATTGTTAAACGTATCCAACCAATTCCCATAACTTTAATATATACTTGCTAGAAATTTAATGATCTCGTTTCTGTCATGTAAAGTACGTTTGGCAGCCTTTATATTATTTTGTCAATTCAAACATGGACGAACAGCTCTAAGCAATAATACTATCCAGTCTACAATTCATTCTTTACCCGTCCACGTTTTATAAATGATTCAGAATAATAAATGGTTCACTAACTCCGAATGCTATTTTTCTTCGTACAATTTTTTTTAAGTTATCGGATTTAAGTCGTGTGTACATGACAACGTTTGCCCGGTCCCTTACTATTATCATAAAAATATTTGTTTGTATTTTAATTATTATTATGGGGGGGATATTTATTTGTTTTCTCATCTGGTTGCTTTCATAATAAAAATTATATTAACTTTTCGGTGACGTGTTCATACAGAGAATTCATCATTTCCGCCATCGGCATCAGTCCAACCGGGCGTTTCGCTAATCGTGCGGCCGACCGTCCGCAGATAATGAAGGAGATCGCCCAGCACAAGATCAAGATCTACGAGTTCCCGGAGAGCGGCGGCGAGGAGGGCGACGGCGCGGAGGCCACCAGGGCGCTGCGGGCGCGCGTGCCCTTCGCGGTGGTCGGCGCCAACACCGTCATCGAGGCGGAGGGGAGGCGCGTGCGCGGCCGCAAGTACCCATGGGGCATCGCGGAAGGTCCGATCATTCGACCTCTTTTATTTTTTTTATCTATACGCGAAGCGGGGTACGAGCCGGCGGTTCGACGGATGCAACACCCGTAGGATCGCAGTGGTGTGTCATCTAAGGGCCATCGAGGTCGCGGTTCGGACCGAAACTCCGATGGCCGTCGACTGTGCAATTAGCTAATCGGTGGCTGGGGGCGGTGAGAACCGCCCCGGAACGCGGGTGTACCTTGTGTACGCGTTGTGTTGCTCTCGCCGTGCTCGGAGGCGAGGGCGAACTAGTGTGTTTGTTGTTGCACTAAATGTGGGTGTAGTGTTGTCCGGCGGGGCCCCCGGCGGTGGGTCCGGCGTATCTAAGTCCCCTTCCTCGACCGGGTCGATGAGGACGTTTCGCGGGCGACGCTTGTTGACGTTCGCGATACCACTCGCCAGACGAAACGCGGATGTAACACTTCCGCTACACGCCGGTCTTCTGTGAGGTCGCGGTACTTACCCGTACGGATCTGCGCATTCGTGCAACAGCTAAGACTGTTTCGTGGCCCGTATACAATTAAGTATTCGACCTTTTTTTTAATGTAAAATGTTGTCAAGCAACGAGCAGGCGGTTCACCTGATGTTAAATGAATACCGCAGCCCATGAACATCTACCATGTCCGGAATATTTTTTCATAGTCCTCCAGTTTCAAAGTAGACATAGCATTCATCAAGGGCAAAGACCAAACCCATCTAGATCGCAAATCAAAATAAAGTTAATTGTCCTTTAAATTAATTATTAATTTTAAATTCTGGAAGTTTTCCAACCGCGGTTTCGCCTGCGCGACCCCTGAATTTTTTCCTACTACTAGTTATATTACCTATATTTTGGTCAATTCACACAATATCTTTATAAATTATGCGGCCTGTGTGTTATTCTGATGTATAATCTATATTATTGAGAAGTTTAATTAAAATCCATTCAGTAGTATTTGCGTGAAAGAGTAACAAACATCCATCCACACACACAAACTTTCGCGTTTATAATATTAAGTAAGGATAAAGATTTGACTTGATAAAGTACGTATTTGCCGTACGTGCACTAATCTGAGATACGATGCCGTTGCAGTGGAGAACCTGGAGCACTGCGACTTCCTGGCGCTGCGCAACATGGTGATCCGCACGCACCTGCAAGACCTGAAGGACGTGACCAGCTCGGTGCACTACGAGAACTACCGCTGCCGCAAACTGGCCGGCCTCTCCCACGACGGCAAACCGCACAGGATCAATTCGAACAAGTAAGCTGCCACCGACCGTTCATACATATATTTCACGTGTGTTACTGTCTTTCATTCTGCAACTCACGCGTTCCTAACCGAGTAACGCTGAACGAGCCAGGTTCGACGCTCGTTCTAACTTGTCGCTGATTAGCTTCCCTTCGAGGTTCTTTTGAGAGGCATGTATTAACAACCTAAATAGACGGGGTTGGTGAGTTAACAGTTGCCGTTGAGTTTTGACACGTACTGACGTCACCGCTTGTAAGGTGGCCAGACTTCTGTCGTGAGGAATTCGATCGTACCGAAATTTTTTCCATGCTATATTCGTACAGTAAATGTATTTTCATCCCTGCATGTCTGGTCACCTTTGACGCGGTCCGTATGTTCTATTAACCAGCGCAGTTGTGAGCTATATAATCGTTTTTTTTTTCATTTATTTCTTTTTTTAGCTACGTTACTACGATAGTTGCAACGACATTCTTTATTGTTCGAATGTTATGTGCTTGGGCATGCAGAAATGGAAAATTACATGTTACTGCATATTGATTTATTTTTATCATGGTGTTTTAATAATTTAAACTATCCAATAATCTGTATCGTCTTGACAATTACTATTTATGTTTTCAACATCCATGATTCTATGTCATTAACCATAATTTGTACACGGGCTTGCAGTGGCGTTAATCATTTTGTTTCCGAGAAATTGTTCCTGTCTGTGCTTATAGTTTACAAAATCGCACCCATTTATATATAAATTCATACTTATGTTTGAATATTATTCTCTATGGTTTGGTTAGAAGTGTTATCTAGTCAGTTATACACAACAAACAAAGTACTATAATTTTACTTATTTCATTAATTTGATTTATGTATTCATATCGTTTGCGCTGAATTAACTGTTATATGAATGAGACGTCGTTTGCTTTTTTCATAAACGAATGCGTATAATTCTGTACGACAATACAATCGATCTTTTCGATTTATGTCGCTTTCATACACACCGTTGCATTGTTCGTGCAGTGTGCCAAATGAAATATTACAAATAAGTACGTGCGTTCCGGACGCTCTACTGCGGCCGTTCGTGCATTGAATCAATAATTATTTAATCCCGGTCGCAAATTTTAATAAATAATAGCGTGACAATGGCGCCTCGCCACGCATTTTCTATTTGACAAGAATGTCATGAACGGTGGATTAGCACAGAGATTATCTGCAGAGAATAGTGTATAATTAGCCGCGCATATGATAATCGACTTTTCCCACTTTGCGTATCGAAAATAAAAATTTAGTAAATAAGTTGTTTTGTGACCACTACAGTAAAAACCAACCCACACGTGTCACTTTCCACAAACGCCATTATCTAGTCGTTGTTTTGTTTCCTTTTACCTCTAAAGTATTGATTAACGAGAAGCACTGATGATATTCGGCTTGATTTTGTTTTGCTCGAGTTAAGATTAAAGTTTTAAAATTGAAACATTCGATGTGGCCGCCACTGCAAGCCGCGTGCACACTAGGGCACATCCACGTGTTTTACGTTAACAATGGTTGTGTTGGTGTTCAGTTTGTGCCCGCAAGGACTGATGAACAGTTTCATGACCGTTTGGTAAGTCTCATCGCACACGAGCATTTGTGTGACGTTTTACATGCATATAAGAGTTCATTCGGCAGCCCACTTTGTTAAACGGTGGCAGCGCAGCTGCAACCCTACGGGTGTTGCAAATGTCCGTGGGCGGCGGTTATCACTTAACATCAGGTGAACCGCCAGCTCACTTGCCACCTACTCACATAAAAGCACGGGTTGTTCGGTATTGTCCGCTTATGTCTCTATACAGGGGTGCAACTTTAACCGCTTTCAGTGTATGGTAACTTGTTGCATGTTACTTATAGCTGTTATTTATCTTTTGCGTATTTTGTACTTTTACTTTTTTTACTGTCGTCATCCTGCATGCATTATAAGGTATAATTGACATAGGTAATTTTTGTCGTTTTGTGGCATAATGCATACGGTAGTAAATTGAAGTAATGAATGTTCGATACCTTTTGAAATGTTGTAGTATGCCTCGGTATTGAATAATTGCACCGTCTATAATATTCTATCACTGAATATATTTTGGTATTTTTAAAAAAATATGAATTACTTATTTAAATATTTTAAATATTTTTGTATAACACTTTGAGCACATGTAAATAAAGAAAAATGGTGCATTGCAATTTTCTGTTCTAGGGATGTAAAGTTCAATAATTTTTGAAAAACCCTTCAAAATTTATATATAAGCCTTATTCACTCATAAACTTGGAAATTTATCGGCTCTTTAGATTATATTGATTGGGTGTGATTTTAATTTGTTTTAAAAGTTTTTAGTTTTTTAATTTGTCATATTAAATTTTCTAGATTTGTTGGAGATTGTGTTGGTAGTATTTTGTTATGAATTAAGTGTTGATTATTTCGTGATGTTTGAACAGTACGTATCTTCAATGTAAACTAATTATCATACGGACTTATAGCATACATAATTATTTTGGTGTGGTAAAATTTACACGATTATATTTTTGATTTTCATTGGTCCTTTTTATACTTTTTTAATTTTTGCGTCATGTATTATAAAGATTAACTTTTATTTCAAAGCCATTAGTAAGTTTTAATGGATAGTTTATACTCCATATAAAAAAAAATCCTTTAAATAAAAAAAAATACTGGTACTATCCTGATAAGTTTCTTTAGCATGTGTAATAAAGTGACACAGTTTGGAGGAAAACACAATTGTTCGCTAAAATAAGACGATTGTTCTCAGGAATCCTTTAGCTCAGATGGAGGAAGAGAAGCGTGAACATGATCTAAAAATGAAGAAAATGGAAAGCGAGATGGAACAGGTAATGAAAGTTGTTTTTTAATTTCACAACTTCCACTTTGTTATGAATTAATGCAGATATTGCATTAACAAAAATATCGTTTGCATTTTCATTATGATTTCCGCTACACATATATACTTAGGTAATAAGTTACAAATTTGTTTTTTTTTTATTTATTTTGTCGGAGTACGTATATTATAATTTTATAGCTAATAATGGAAAAAAACACTCGTTTTTGATATCTATATTTTATCATTGGCTACTTAAATTATAAATTTTTCATCATATCAACGACTTTGGTTTGAAATGAAAAAGATAGGCGTGTTCACGACGAAGTCCTTAATGATGCAGAAAGGGCGGAGTAGCACGCGGTGTATAGCGTAGCGGCGAAATTCAAACTGAACGGCCGAGCTTGTCGTAAAAAAACAACACTGTATGGATACCGGAAAACATTTTAAGTAAAAGGCATAAAGGGGGTTCGCAAGAGTTCTTTTTTTTAATTAATTAATTTATTTGCTATTACACAAGGTACAATCTTCTATTTGTGCAACCAATCGCGTAAGCTTATGTCAAAAGTTGTTGGGCTAACCTTCTCGAAGAGCCCGCAGCGAATACCAATGCGAAATACAATACAAAAAAGAAAAAAGAAAAAAAAGAACTCTTACTCGTTTTTTTAAAAATGTCTCGTCCCCCGCAGGTGTTCGAGATGAAGGTGCGCGAGAAGCGCGCCAAGCTGAAGGAGTCCGAGGCGGAGCTGGCGCGGCGGCACGAGGCCACGAGGCGGGCGCTCGAGGCGCAGGCGCGCGACCTTGAGGAGCGGCAACGCGCGCTGCAGGCGGAGCGCGCCGCCTGGGAGCGCGACACCGGCCTCTCGCTCGACGAGCTGCGCCGCCGCTCGCTCGAGGCCAACAGCAAGGAGTGAGTGTTGCCACCCCGCACACCGCTCAGTAGGAATAACGTTTTTTGTTCCTGTTGTCTTCGGCGCCAGAGATCGCAGGTTACTTTGGGGAGCTGTAGGTGTGAGCGAGGAAGTGGTGTCTCCCGTCTCGCTGCGATCTCTGTCTGCTTTTTGTGCTCAGTAGAAATAACGTTTTTAGCCGGTTGCTGTTGTCTTTGGCGCCAGGCATCGCGGGTTACTTTGGGGAGCTGTACGTGTGAGCGAGGAAGTGATATCTCCCGTCTCACTGCGATCTCTACCTACTTGTTGCGCTCAGTAGTATATAGGCCGTAAGGAATACCGTTTTCCGCTGGTTGCCGCAGTTGCTGCTGACTTCGGCCGTAGAGTAGAGCTCGTGGGTTTGATTACTATTCACTTGTTGGCGTCAGGTAGGCGGGTCATGTTGTGCCGAGCCCATCTAGGCTAAAAAGTAATCTTGTTTTATACTTTTTCTGAAAAAGCACCAAAGCGAGCCTTGAGCGCGGTGTGGTATTATTTTCCTCACAACGCCCGAGTAGGCGATTTTCTATAGCGAGGTGCTCAAGACTATAGATAGCACGCGAGCTATTTGAAGGTAATTTTGTAATTTGAACAGGAAACTCGATAACCTGTTCATCTTTTTTTATGCGAAAAGTTGTCAAACGAGCAGATGGTTCGTGTTAAGTGAATACCGCCGCCCATGGACATCTGGCGCACCCGAGGGTTGCAGATGCGTTGAGAACCTTTTGAAAATTGAGTTCCGGCTACCTCACTCACCAGACGAAATGCGAAAGTATTTGTCATACTTCCACTTTACGCTAGTCTTCTGTGAGGTCGTGTTACCTGCCCGGACGGGCCTGCCCATTCGTGCAACAGCCGAGGGCTGCTGCGTGGCCCTACCGCCGATCCGAGAAATCATCATCATCTGGAGAACTGTCTCGAATAATTTCACTACGAACGTGAATAACTTTAAATAACAGCGTAATTTTGATTGTATGGTACTTATCTCTGCGCTTAAGACGAAACATTAAAACAAGTTTATAGAGTATTTCTACGTTTATTTCCGTAAAAAAATAATCAACATTTCATCTTTGTCTTATTATTTTTAAAAATAATCGGTGTTTTCCAACTTGAATACACACGTTATTTGTTTATCGTTATGGAGGGTGTACAATATCACGCCTCATAAAAGCGAGAACATAAAAAAATAACATTTATAATTTTTTAAACACCTCCGTAAACTAAAATAAAACGTACGTACTTTCCCATTGTTATGTAACTCCTTTTGTCAACTACTGCCATAAGAAAGGCCAACTTAACAGTATCTAAAATATCACTAATAATTTACTCGCATCATACTCGTTACAAAACTGCTATGTGCTTAAATTCGATACCTCTTTAAAAGGAATTCAAAGACCGTAATCTATACTTATAAACGCCGAGCCGGTTTTTTGTTCTTGTTATACTGCGAAAACGCCTGAACCGATCGGAATAATACTTATACCATAAGATGCAGCCTGTTTCGCAGAGGGTTTTTAGTGTATAAATTATATTTATTTCATTCAAATTAACCGAGCGATCACAATTTTCGCGGACGATGTCGCGTTTACAACGTTGTGTTTACCTGTAATTGTCAATGTTCCGTATGTATTAGTATGGTAAGCCTTGATAAATAAATAAACATTCGTTACATATATGACGTAACAAACATGAAAAAAAGTACAACCCAAATGGGAACCGCGACCTTTTTTGAAGTCTGTTGTAAATTAAAACTGATCCAGCTCGTCTTTGTTCCAGAACGGTGGACGGGAAGGATAAGAAGGACAAGAAAAAGAAAGGTTTGTTCTAGGCCGGAGAGCGTTAAGTCGGCCCGCACCCACCGTACGTAACACGCGTGACTAACCGCTGACGGGACAATCGCCGACTAAGAAGGGTTTTCTACGGACTGGCTCGTTCTAATCACAGTTTAACTCCTACATGCCGGTCAAAACTTAAATGCGCCTGAGTGAAGTTGCCTCGCGTGGTATGCGCGTAAGTTCGAGTGCAAAGTCGACTTTCGCTTTATAGATTTTTTCACAGAATTCGTATAGTAACGCTGTTCGCAACTGTACGCTGACTGTAGGGGGAGCGAAACAGAACGCGGCTTCGACTGCGGCGCGAGTGAGAGGGCATTCATTACTTTTCACCGCACGTCTAACTTCCGTGACGCATTTAAGTTTAGCGCATACTATACGTACTCCATTCATCACCCCAATACACGTCGTCCGACGTCGATTCGTTGTCTTGTTTTAGGTTGTAACGTTGATTCCTTTTCCCCAAACACTCCTTACATATCGGTTCACACTAACTTGTTTGTAGAATTAACCTTTTTAAACTATACTGTTTCCGTGTTTGAGATTTTAAGAGATTGATTGTTATCTATTAACTAAAATTCTTGAATATAGTGCCATTGTCGGGATAGTGACGATTGTCATAACCACTTGTTTTACTCACTTATTGTATGATACTTTAAATTATATAGGACGGTCAACACGTTTCACGTTTATGTCACATCATTTTAAAATTGTGCTTACTGTGGGAAAAACTATCACTAATCGAAGGGATCTGTTTTATATGTTGTATATATTAGTTTGGTCATTGCTTATTTTGTTAGTTTAAGTTGATTTAAGAAATGGAGGAACATTTGTAATTGCAATCTAACTATACCGTGTAAGGTGAAGAAGAATTGATTATTAAATTTCTCCAAACAATCTCTCCAGTCTTACTCTGTAGAAATGGACTGTGTCGGAAGATGTTCCGTCAATTCTTAAACGTAGAACATTAGACCTACCTACGTCAAAATGTCTGATTTTCTTCTTTAATAATTAGGCTACGTGCCACATCGTATTTATTATTCCATTAATATTAAGTTTATGTACTATGTATCGATTGTTTATCCGATTTTCAGATTGGTCTTTTAAGAGTGTTGCAACAGGAATAGTTTTGTAGTGTGGCCTGAGCACTGCACAAGCTAAAGTATCCACGTATATCGACCACTGTATTCTATTAGAACAACGATATAAAAGACTACAGGAAAGTTAAAGACTACAACGGACTTACCGTAAACAATAAACTAACAGTGTTCAGTTACGATTCTATTGTACTTTATTGATAAGTAATTCACCATGACAAAGCATTTATTTCATAAGTTTGGCCTAATTTTGTATGACATTTCCATGAAGTTTATCACATGATAAGAGACATTATAAGTCCGTGCAAAAATGTAGCAGTAAGCGGACAGCACAATTTTTATGCCCGATTGGAAAGTTTTACCACAACTCGACATAAACGTCCATAACGTTGCCAAAGTAGCTTGTAATATTAGTCGGTTGTAGAATACTAAACGTGTGAAATATTTCGTCGTGTTCCAAAATGTTCCACCTCCGATGGATACATCACAAAAAGCTTACATGACCGACGCAGCTCAAAGTGTGTGTGAATTAAAAATAACAAAAAAAACTAAGCACTTTCGGTATATTGTTATAAGTAACAAGTTTTTGATGACGCTAGTGATGAGTTTGAAATTTCGTTTTTCTCGAGTGATAGACTTTATTGCATTGTAGTATTTCCAGTAATTTTACATTTAGGCAGTACACGTTTCAACAAATTTCAACGTGCAATTCGAGTTTTTTACTAATTAGACGCGGATTCTAACTGCTCTATGGGTGCAAAAATGCCTAAAACAATGTGGGAGATTCGACACTGATTTGTACTTCGGTATATCGTGCTTAGTGATATTAAGATATGCTGATAGTTCAGTCGTGAGATAGACTCTAGCTAGTTTTAGCGTTTTATTGTATTTATAAGGGTGGGAACCAAAAGATCGCTTTGCAAGCAATGGAAGAATTGAGCTTCAATATCGTATTTATTTCTTGTCACAGATCAAAAAGTGACGTATATCATATCGTCGGATATAATTTGGAAGACATATAACGCATGTTTGTTTATATAAGCTATATATTATACGCTATTGTATACATTTATTCAGATTTTTATGTGTAAATAATTCGTGTTATAATCTTTCGGTTATTACACGAATCATTATTTAAGATGTTACACATTGAGACGTAATTTATGAGATGCATAATCCTTATTTAATCGACAAACCATGGTTGTATTTGTATTATTTCCTAAACTACAGTATTGACTTCCGATATAAAATTAGAACGTTAGATATTAAGAGTATGCTTAATTTTGTATTTTATGTGGGGTCTAGACCCGTTTTACCATAAAGTTCATTTGCTTAGTCATTACAAAGAATATGACGCATGTTGAAGCGCAATGAAGATCGGACGATGTAATATATTGTACCTTTGAATAAATATAAATAAATACGTAATATATAGGAGTTATGTTCGTTTCATTTTTACCTTACGGCGTTGTTCCCTTTATAGGTTACATTGTTTATAAATGGTTATTTATGTGTATGGTACATGATTTCGGCATGTATCCATAAAATTATTTGTTCAGTTATTCTGCCATCCTTTTCCATAGGATTGTAATGAATAAAAATAGAGCCTTCAAATGATATGAAATGTCAGTGTTACTTCATCGTTTAATTAGCATAATAAAATTATAAATAATTATCTAACATAGATTATTTTTGTAATAAAAATGAACAGTCTATATTTATATTTCATTTCTGGCATATACATTCTTCGCCTTATATCCATAAAATTATTTGGTCAGTTATTCTGCCATGCTTTTCAATATAACCTTAATGGATACAAATAAAGCTTTCAAGCGTCAGTGTTACTTCATCGTTTAATTAGCTTAATAAAATTATAAATCTACCATAGATAATTTTTTGTAAGAAAAGTAAATTGACTACTTCTATTTTCTTTTTGTGGCATACATTATAAAAAACGATGTTAATCCAAAGTCGATAATGTTACACGATTTTGTACTTCGAAAGCAAAATTAAAATCGAAATAAAGATATTGTAAATTAATTAAAATATGTTGTAAATAAAAGAATTTGGTGATTTTTGTATCAATTTCTTTAATTTGGTGACTTCACAAACCCTTTACATTTACCGACAATCACACAAAATGCTTCAATTACCTAAGTCGAACTATTTAATATCGTCGCAAAATTTTAGTCGATGTTACCGGCGACAGCCTTCTTTAAACTAATACATTCCATGACCATTTCAAAATACAATCTTATCCAATCGATAAATATTCGAATAACCTCAAAATATTTTGGTACGTAGACAACATGACTAACTCTAGGTATAATATTAAACTTTGGCAGCACTATGGAAAATATATTTCTAATTATTTTTAATGAAAATGCAACGTTGAATATATTATAACAATCACAACAGTCCTTGACGTTAAACTTTATTTGTATTAAAATGTAGTTAAAGAAATTTTAAATTGTTTTAAAACACGACAATAATTGAACTAAGGCTTCTTAACACATTTATATTCTATAAAACAATATTTACAATATTTTTCGGGGTTATATTCCTTCAGGATTCCACATGCATTTACATTTTATGTAAGATTGCAATAAAATATATCTTAAGAGGTAGGTACTTGGTACCTAAGGTGTAGTGTGTTAGGCTAAATTGTAATTACTACTTTTTTAGTTTGTTGTCGAACACTGGATCCATTCGTGAAGGTTACAGAGTATCGTAAATGTTGAGTATGTGAAGAAGAAATGATAAACGGTATTGCGGATAATAATACCTAATTTTGGTGCTAATATTAGGAAAATTTGTCCATCAACAAGCTTATCCAAGCCAACCAATGAATAAAAAATATTGGTGTCCATTACGCTCCTTCTGGACCCTGTCTTGAACATCGCCTTGTCTACAGTATATTAAACTATTTTAATATATTAAGTATCATTATTTACTATTTTATTGGTGTTCTTTTCGTGTCGCACTAAAGTTACCTATTTTATAAATCTTGAAACCATAAACTTGTACTAAATCTCAATAAGTATTTTGTAATATCACAAATCACTGTATCGCTAACAACTATAATCTTAACTGTTTACAATATGGTGTAAATGCAATAGCAGTAACGCTTTCACAGTACAATTCTGCTGTAGCGGGCATCTAAAGTTAAGCTGGGAACAAGTTTAGTTTAGAACGGACGTATTATGTCCTTTACTCCCTATATTACGAGGCACAGTGGCACAGCTTTTGTATTGTATATGTGAATGTTCTCGTGCATTTCAAATGTTTTTATTATTAATCTATATAAAGTACAAAATAAATAATACAGTAGATATTGTCAAAAACTGTTTCAAAGAATTACTAAAATTATAAAAATGTTTACAATCTCTTAAGATTTCTCATAAGGGCCATGAAAATAACCTTAATCGTGGAAAGACTAAGAATGCTATTTTGGTATTACAGGCTTTACTACGATTAATCTAAATTTAAATTCTCATGAGTATACACTATATATTTTTTGACTATTTTTTGACATTGGAAATTACGGGCTGTTGTCAGATTTGAGATTATATATATTTTTCATTTTAATTCGACAATGCGTAGAAAATTCGTATATTAGTATACATATTTTCAATTAGCAATGCATGGCATTATACAAAGAGAAAACACCTTTTCGCGTTATTCTGAATTGCCAAACAACATTTTAAATTGTAAATTCTTTACATTGTACAATTTTAAAATTACCGAATTGCGAAACAATAGGTATAACGTAGTAATAGGTTATTTCCATAGCCCTCAACCCTCAATTAACTTTTAACTTAATAGGTATCTATTTCAAATGGTAAGTAAATATATAAATTGAGTACCCTAATATTTATCTAGAAAAGCATCATAACTTTAAAAATATAAGCAATTAAAACTATTTTACAGCTTTGTTTTGATACACACTATGACTGCATTTAATTAAAATTACGTTATTATTCCTTATTACTATTCACTTATTCGATATTTAACACACGTAGCGGTAATACTCTAATCTTTGAGTCTATAATTTTACGTGGCCACAATTTCGATTCACAACTCTTATTATAAAGCTTAATAAAGCTCTTTACATTAATCTTATATATTGTTCGAGAATCGGAAATATCATAATTAATAAATATTAGAAACAAACAATCGTTTACCAAGGTAAAAAGAAGATATATAAGTAAAAAGAATGTTAAGTAATATAAAAGTTAAGTTTGTGAAGAGTTTGTTAAAATACCATTTTACTGTTAATTAAATGTCGAAACAGTGTTATACAGACCGATCACTGTGAAGTCTGGAGCAGGGCGTCGACAGGATTTGCACTGTATGAAATACTTAAACAGCTGGCTTAAGCGGTATAAGCCATATATTGTCTTAAATTCGTACTATTTAAGCCTAACGTATTAATAATAGCTATTACAAAACCTAAATACAAAAACACTTAGTCATACGTAATTGCGCGATTACAAAAACCTCAAGTTTTCAACTTTTCCCACATTTTGTATGGCGCATACATTGCTGTTTTATATGTCACCTTTCTATTTCATATTGACTCGTTTACCTACAACATAATTCCTCTTATTTTCACGTCTATTGTATATTAATGCAAACAAGTATAAACGAAATCGAATAATAAATACTTAACTAGTTTATTTACTTAACAATATAATATAATTTTAAAACTTGTTTCATGTAGAGTTCAATTATGTATCATATTGTTTATTTCCTTTAATAACAATCAACAGATTAATTGTTTATTTAAAAGAGTTAAAGTTGGAACTTCTAGATAATTCCTTTTATAATCTCGAAAAACAAAGAGGTATTCGATCATTTTAACCCTAATGGCGAGGCACGTTCAGTTGCAATCTACTCGTAACGTTTAAATACTAAATAACGTTATTATTCGAATAATCGATTTATAATAATAATAATAAAATATGTGATATGTTAGTTATTGCCGTAGTGATTAAATAAGTTTCGGGTACTGGGATATTGCTGTCATGGTAGATGGGCGACATGCTGAGCTGTGGTATGTTTTGCGTCAAGGCCAACAGCAAGTCACATATATGCATGCAAAGGCTGGGTGCAACGCCTGCCTTCAGCCTGCCTTTTGCGGTATGGATGGTCTATATAACACAGTGTTTCTCAGGCGACGTGGGTGCTGACCTACCAGCAACCAGAGTCAATTTTCCCTCATCTTAGTGCTAAACATCCTCGCTTGGACAGATGAAGTACGACATCGATTACGATAGTCACATTAACACATGCAACACACATCTATTTTTTTTTCCACAATCATGCAACGTCCATTACGCGTTCCTTTTTCAAGTCAACTAGTACTTACACGATATCGATTTAAAACAGTTAAACAAATACACATCGAATGAAACATTGACGCCGTGTCATACTGAAGTGAATGTTGTAAATGTCGCATGTTAAATAATGTCGAACATTACTATTGTGAGGCCAAACAAATAGAAGAAGCGTGCCGTGCAAAAACAAAAAAGTGCAATAGGACCACAAAAGTGCGACATGTGCGTATTAGAAGATAGAGTTAAAAACTTAAAAATATTGATAAGTCATTTGGACAGGTTGAGCTACATAGTATACATAAATACGGGTATTAAAGATATTGAAACGATTATCTAAGAGGGGAAACTTAAAAAAATATACATAATCCTTTGATTTCTTCACGTATTTCATGTAGTAACAATGTGTATCCTTTAAATGCAACATGCATTGATTATTGTACGTTTTTACTATAATTTAACGATCACAAGTTATACAATTATGACGCGTAAATCGAAAGAAAGTTAAGTAGGCCAAAAAGCCCTAAATGTGAATACCTACTATCTATTGGTACAAAAGTTTGAATGAAATACAAGACAAAGTAGAAGACTATTTAGAGAAAATTTATAATTATAGTAAACCATTACTTTATCGTCAAACAAAAAGTATAGGAATATTTACATAGTTAATTAATTTCGTAATTGTGTGTCGCAAGTGGATTGTTGAAGCATATTCCGTATATCGTACTAATCTGACTATCATCATTTAAAAATTAGGTATTTGCTGTAATCCGTTCAAAAGCCGCAAAAGGTTTTTGCGAATTATTCAACGGGTTACCAGCAAATTCGGTCGAATAAGAACAAACGCTAGGAGAAGGAAAGGATAATATGAGTTGCTCTCTCAGATCGATCTGTCGTTGTAAATTTTGCAGGAAAAAAAGGTTTACCAAAAGTAGGAAGGTGACCACCACTTTGGATCAATGCTATGATTCAATGATTGTTCAATGTTATATGTTCAATCTACAAAAACTTCAATTTTTTGTAAAAATATGCTATGTTCGTTTTTTATAAAACAAATACGTGAACAATCTAGCAAAAACATTATTATTACGTGTCGTTCGCTCAATCACGAATAGTAGAAAAAATGTGAAAAAGGGGGGGGGGGGGGGCTAGCTTCAATGGTTCGTTGCGAGCACATCGATGGCCTCCGTTAGCGTTTGTTCGTCCGACCTCAGGCGACGGGCTGTTCGTAAAGACGTTGGAGCCTTTAAAACAAGAGGAAGCTGACCCTGGTCCGGCGCGCGTCGCCTTTGCCGCGCCGGCCCATGCCGTACTGTCACATGGCCGTGTCGGAGGTGCTCCCGCCCGGCTTCGCGTCGCCGCCGCCGCCGCCCGCCGTGTCTTCGTCGCGCGACGACCGCCCCCCCGCCCCCGCGCCGCCCGCCGACAGACCCGTGAAGTCCAATTTGTACTGCACCGTACGAACACGTTTATAATCTGTGCCGGGACGCCATCACGCCTCGCGACGCGGTCTCGCCACACGCTCGATGACTTTACAGGGGGGGCTATGTTAATCGTAGTGTTGCAATTGCATATGAGTATGGTCATTGAATGTGATATTCACAGTATTCGATATCACGCGTTCGAAAATCGGTCTGCGAGCCTGGTTGACGGCGGATCGAGCTAGCCATTTGGTTCGCGAGAAATCTCTAAGCATCAAGCGTTATTGAATTTGGTGATAGTTAGTACAAAGGTCATTTAAATCATTTGAGTATGTAATGCAAATGTGGCGAAACCGCGATCATTGAAGGTGTCTACCCACCGCTACTGCACCCATTGAAATGACGTTAAACACTCATGCACGCGAACAAATTCTTTAAAGATTAAACTCGTCAAGTAATAATTATTTGCAGAATTTTAATCTTTAATACTAAGAATAATTTGAAGAATGAAAATTATTGTAAATTATGTTTTACGGGAAAGAGAGTGCAGGCGTAGAACATCTTAAAGTTTATAAGCATTGTTATAAATTTTAAGATTGATGACATTTTTACACACAGATCTAAACTAAATAAATATATGTAGATCATTGCAACACACATTAAACAACATCCAGATATTAGCTATTGAATACACCATTTAACAATACTACGCTAAAGTTAATATACGACGATGTAGGTTAGGCAGAGTTAAATGCTTAAATTATTAATGTTATTGCCACGTTTTTGTTTAGTGATCAAAAACTTCAACCCACACATATACCTCCTTTATCCATTTAATACACTATTTTCACTTTTAAATGTAGATGCTTTTTGTAAGTTTGGTTTCCAATGCATAGGTACTCTCTCGGGCATACAGAGGGAATACTGAAATTAGGAAACAAATTTAAACTAAAAAAGGAGTAAATGAAAGAAAATAAACAAGAAAAAGTCAACATCAGAAAAACCGATTAAATAAAAATGTTGAAGAGCAAAAAAACAGTAGCTCACAGGCTGAAATGATAAATTACTTAGTGCCTTTTTATATATTTTATTAGTTTGGATACCTAGCTTGCTAGCTGATATTTATATGATAACATTAATATAATAATAATGATAGTAACAGATACAGTATTTGCTATGAACATTTAAATATCAATATATCATAGGATTACACAAAACATGCTTAGATGTATCTACACACAGAATTACATAAATATAGGGATGTACGTTATGAAATGTAAGACAGACAATGAGACAGACCGATTTATCTCTTGGGTTGGTTGAGGATTTGTTAATCGCTTTGTCCAACGGAATTAGGCCCTGGCGTGGAGAGAACCACCCAGTGTATAGCGGTAGGAAACAGAAATAAATTTCAAATAAAACATACAACTTAACTAAAAGGGTCCGAATTATTGAATTTTCTATGACTAAACAATCTAATGTCTAAATAGCTAAAAGTTTTATTCTTGTTTAAAACAAATTTATGACACGTGTTACAACAAAACGTGTTATCACCATAGAAACTTAAACAAGAATAAATCTTTAGTACTGTTTGTTATCACACTTGTCCACCCGTATCCCGAAAGTCTAACAGTCACGAACGAAATAAAATTGTCAAAGTACTTAACAGGTGCAACACTCTGGTGCCTTTTAATCACTCCCACACTCGCCTCCCACGGCAAAGGTACCTAAGGAACATTACGTTCCAATGCACTAAAATCTTTAATATATCTAATAAAAATCGCTAAATTTTCAAGATGTGCGATGTGTTGCTCAAATTCTTCATAGTATCAATGGCGGTGAAGAGGATTAGATGAATCACCTTGTTTGCGCAGTCGAAGCACGTCGTGACCACTTTGCTAATGACGTTCATCAGGTGCTTGGTCTCCTGGATGACGTTGTCGACTTTACTGAAGGTGGCTGCTCGGCCCACCGTCGGCTCTTTCACTGTGAACTGCAGTTGTTGCACGTACGTCGGTACCTTGTCCAAGTGCTCCAACAGTTCTTTTTTCATTGTTCCTGCTGGAACCTGCACAAGAGGGACCCTCAATTAATGCAGCTTTATCAAATATATATGGTTAAATCAATAAATAAAGCAATCGTGTGCATTGAGGACATACCTGGTATGAAAATTGTCGTACAATTTTGTAAAGTCTATTGGCTTCTTCCGCAAAATATTCCGCTTGTGTGAACAGGTCCTGCGTCGTATTAAGTCGTCCTTCCCCTTTCGTGAATTGATACATTGCAAAAGCCATGGATGACATATTTTTTGCCCTAAAGTGTTAAAAAATAAATTGTGATTAAAAAATAAAGATATTTACCGCTTAATTCAATATTTTTTCAGATTTATACATTGAGTGGCAACATGTTCGAAGGTTCTTTATTTAATTTGACAATTTTAATTCTATTGATTTAGTACATGGGGTTATAGTGGGCATAGTGGGGTTTCTTAATTTTAAATTGTCGCTCGAAAGCAGCACGGGCTAAGTACAGGATGCAAAGACTATAGGTACTCGTATATGTCTATCACATTAGACAAAGTTCACATGTACACAACTTGTTACTAGCGGGTATGATGTGTACGTGGGACGAAGCAAAAACATCAGGATCGTTAAATGGAAAACTGTTTTTTCCAGCTGTTGGAGCCTATTCGTTCCTTATAGACCGACAAAGCATTCGTTACTCTCTGGTATTTGAGTTGGGCTGCTTGTCCATTTGCCATCTAATCCATAAAAAGCTCGATATAGGTACTTATCGTCATTATACAATTTATATGTGATTTAAAAAATTGTACCTCTTCACGATGTCGTTGTTTTCGTCGGCTCCCTGCCATTTCTCAGTTTCCGCGTCCATCTCGGAGGACATCATTTTCATTTCCAGCCCCGATTTTGCAATCTTCGCTTGTTCATCAGAGTCTAGTCGAACAGCTTTTAGTGGTTTACTAGTAGTACCGTGTTTCTGCCGAAGAAGTTCAATAAATAATTTTATAGTCTCGTTTTTACAGTGGGACATAATCATTTTTTTTTATTGTTCAGGGACACGATTACGGCGGTCATTATAGAAACCGATATTACATGATGTATCTTTGAGAAACTTCAATATCTGATCCCCTTAAAGTGTTAATTCTAGATCTGCGCCTGTGCAACTGTCGACATGGCTCACAATATCATCACATCCTTGACCTAACCATAATCAAATAATTCTCTCCATACACATTTTATATCTGATTTTTGTATTTATTTGTTTCCCCTGATTTATCTCCGGGGTCCCAGATCAAATACTATTGACATTAATGTGGGACAGCCTAAGAGACTCTAATATACAAATCTAATAAAAAAGAATTTTTCAAATCAATAAATGACGGACTTCTGATGTAACAAACATAAAAATACAATCGAATTGCGAATCTCCTCTAAATTTGAAGTCGGTGGAGAAATCCAAATTAAACTAAGAATCGAAAAAAATCCTGTGGTAAGGGCCATTCAAAGGACAGCCTTCGCTGTGGCACGAAAGGGGAGGTCCGTCCCGGGAAGGACTGGACCATGACCTCACAGATGACCCCCGTGAAGTTGAAGTGTTATACTTCTGCGTTTTGCCTGGTGGGTGAGTCCGGGCCCATTTTTTTGAAAGGTGGCAACATATCTGAAACCCTATGGGTGTTACAAATATCCATAGGTGGCGGTTATCACTTTCCATTAGTTGAATCGCCGGTATGCATGTCATCTTCTCCCATAAAAAATAAACTATGCGAAATCACCTGTAAAGCAAAACAGAAATGATTTTTTTTTCATGTGAGAAAGTTTTGCACTTTGCAAGAGCTGGCAGTTCACCTTATGTTAAATGTTAATCGCCGCCCATGGACATTAGCAATACCCGGAGGGTTGCAAATGTTTTGCCACCTGTAAATAAAGTGGGCCCCGGCTACTTCACTCACCAGGCGAAACGCAGAAGTGTGACACTTCTACTTTACGCCGGTCTCCTATGAGGTCGTGGCACATTCCCGGACAGACCTGCCCATTAGTGCAACAGTGAACACTGTTGCGTGGTCCTACCACAGATAAAACTGTGAATATGACGAACAAGTACAACATTCGTGTTGACAAAATATAAATTCGGCTTCCACCATCTCACTCAATGTTTACTATTTGACTTTTAGCCCCCCGATCTGTCTCAGGAGTCCAGGTTGCAATGCCAATTAAATTATCACGGGAGCCTGAAACTCACCCCAGGCCTGGGTAAACTGCTATACTGCTGTTTGTCGGGCCGCTCGTCCGTCAGGTCGAGGAGTTCCTTAGCGAGTCGCGCGGCGTCAGTCAGCAGCCACGCCCACATGTCAACGAACACGTCTAGGTTCTCCCTCGCGGCCGCGCTGCCCGGGTGTGCCGCAAGGGTCCGCGCCGCCGTCACCACTTGGGGTCCGTATATCCTCAAGTTTATTTCGGCGAACTTAGCGCTCACTTGGAGCGTTTCGGACATTGCTATGTGTCGTAGGAGTTTGCATACCTATAATAAGTTACATATGAATCTGAAGTGTCTTCAGTGAAAGATATTTTATGGTCCGTCTAAACTATGAAATACGTTTTGAAACACAGAAACACAGTTTCACACTTTTCCTGATTGCATTAATTTGAATCGTATAAAACAAACAAAACATTTTGGAATGCTAAGAAACGCAACTACAACAAATTTACTTTAAATAAAATTTATTTTAAATTGACTTCAAGACAAAATTAAAGCAGCAATTTTAATTGTTTTAAAAATGATGCAGAATCGAATAATTTCAAAACACAAACAATAATGAAACTACACACGTTGTCATTTATATATTTCTAGAGTAGGCAAACTAAACGCCGTATGAGATTCGACATAAAGTAATTTATTTATAAATTAAATACCTTATAGTCGAATCTAATTTGAAGTACAGCTGGCCTCTATGGTAATTGAAAGGAATAAGTGTAAAAATGTATTAATAAGTTTTTTTGCTAAACCGAATTATTATTGGTTTTGTTCTAAATTTATGAATATCCTTTAGGTATATTATTGGTATTCTTAGTTATTTTTTTAAACTATTTGAAGAGGGGAGACTCCGGTTTGGTATATGTCGTTTTATATTAACTGAGTAATTAACTGACAATAATAGAAAACTAAATAATAATTGATTTCTTCGATTGAATATAACAGTTAAATAATAATTTGATCAATTGAGGTGAATTTTAAGCTGTGTAACCGGACTTTAAACTAAAATAATTTATCAATTTATGAAGATATTAAGTACTTCACGATTGTTTCCGTCAGTTTATGTTTGCAAATGCCAAGCGTCACCTGACCCAATTGAGCATTTGGACTAGTTCAACGGCTACTGAATATGACGCTATTTATATCCTAATCTGGCTTCTCTATTGAAAGCCGGTCGATGAAATATCTATTCATATCAGGTATCTTCTTTATGTACATTTACACCACTGGAATGTTTCAATTATTTTATTTCGAAGATTTAATTGATGGTCTTGGAAGGGATCTATCTAATTGTCAATGGTCTTGGAACTTGGAAGGACTTAAAAATTTACACAAATATTTTAGTGAAGTCTACCTCTATAATATGGTCTAATTGTTCGTGCAATCGGCTGGCTATGTTGTGCAGTCTCTCTGATTCTCTTTCGCCGCAGGAACTGGCTGGAACGAAAGCTCGGGGTTTTCTTGCGTTTCGTTACAAAAATCTATATTAGTAAGGTATTAGAACACTAGGCGAACACTTACGTGTTATGCATTGAAAAGAAAAAAAACTTAGCGAATGTTGTTTCATAATATATTATTAAGATTATACATTTGTGGGTATACGTTCATATCAATATGTATATCGATAAATCGAGGGCCCTATCTATTTAGCGGTCCAAATGATGAAATTTTAACAATATTTTATTTTTGAAACATCAAGGAAAGATCCTAGAAAGTTACGAAATACACACATTTGGTCAGAAATTTACAATACTAATTGGTCAACGGTATAAAGATAATCTCAAAAAGCTTAAAATTTCAAGAACGTGCCTATCATTATAGCAACTCAATCAGAGATAAAGTATTCCGGCAATTGGCCAGAATTTAGTTTTATTATATACCAAAATATATGAGTTGATGTCAATTAGCTGCTAAATGCTACCAATTAAATCCTAATTGATACGTAAATAACATTAAACAATTATCAAAATTATTTATCTAATTGAAATAATTTTAGATACGAACTAGGAGTAATTTGAGGCAAAATTTTCCCATGAGTTTGAATTTTAAATTCTCTGTACTTATTTTCAAAGTATAGACCAATAGCTAATATGACCATTTATGACCATATGATAAAGATAACCATTTATGAACATTTCGCGACAAATTCGGATCACTTCAAAATTTTATTAGAAATTGGGTTATCGGGTATACATGTGAGGCGTTATTGTGCGCTACTTATTCATGAGAGTGTATCAACTTTAGTGGAGTTCCCAATAAAGTAACAAATACCTAATTTAATTTAATGTTAACATGTGACAAATATATACCTAATGAAGGAGAACGATGAAGGTATGGTACATAACGCCGTGATTAATATCTATTATGTGTTTATATGCCCTGCTAGCTAACAAAACAAGGTGTATATAAAAATTAGCTTCATTCTTAAATTAAATTAAAATAAAATTTTAAATAATATTTTTCAGGACATTTCAAGCTAGTAGTAGCTATTATATAGAAATGAAGATATAAAATCTAATGCCATTACATAGTAAGGAATTAACCAATATTTTAAAATGTTTTCGGATAATGATTTTATTTCGTGATATTATTAATCTAATAAAGATGTAGCAAAATTATTTTTAAGACGCATCTAAGCCACTATATTAGCTAACCTTTAATTATAGTCATTAATTATTTCAGCTGGAATGGTATTCTTATAAAGCTAGGTTCCAAAAGCCTGAAACAATTTAGCATAAACAAGCTTGACAGATGATGACATGCAAAAACGAATTAAGCATAAAATATACACATAAATAAAACGAGGTATTCATAAACCATCTCAAAACAAAAGTAACCTAAGCAAAACGCTAAAGCTTTTAACTTGTACCGCACGTAAGTGTTCGCCGTAATCCAAATAAAACTGTACCTAGCGTTCGCGGTGGGTTACCTATGTAGGCGAGGTCGGTGGCGAGGCGGCGGGCGTCCTCCGCCAGTGGAGGCAGATCGCGCGCCTGATCGCGCGCAGCCGCCACTAGCGCCCGCTCCAGTTCGCCCGCCGCGCTCGTGGCGCCCGCGCACGCGCTCTCCAACGCTGCTCCGCTACCGCTTGCCCCTTGCTCCTCCTGAAAGTATGAATTGAGTTTTTCCTTTTGTTGTGATTATGTTTTCAAATAGGTAAAATGTGATGCATTCAACGCCAATCATTGCTACAAATGCAATAAATAAAAAGTAGATGAGATTTCGATTTTCGCGTGGTGAGGGTGTCTACCGCTTAGCTTAGTGGCCAGATTGTCTGGACACGTAATCAAGAAAGTGCAGGTTCCTATCTCGGTAGCGGCGAAAATTATTATACATATGCTTACAGCAAACAAACAATTTCAAATATCGTTTTAAAACGATATCTCGAACGAGAGATGTGGCCATTGGTATATTGGTACATTTAAATTTACGAATACGCGCCGGTTCACAAAGGGCGCGTTGCCAAGGTTGCTGTGCAGGATAGGGGATTCGTAGAATTCAATCAACCACCCAATATAGCCCGGACCTAACCCCTAGTGGTTACTTTCTGTTCAAAGCATTTTTCCGACGATGAAGAGTTGAAAGCGGCAATTCATGAATATTTATCAGCCAAGAAAGAAAAATATTTTTAAAGGGTATGAAAAAGTAACTTTCCAGCTCAACTTAAAATTTTTTGCTTAGCCTTTCCTGCATGTACCGAGAGTACATTGAACGCCCCTCGTAGGCATTGTAATAACTAATTGAAGAAAGCCATAATAACAAATTTGTTACATTGATCTAAATTCGAATAAAAATAAATAGTTTTAGTTATTACATCCGGCTTTTTCAACATTAATAACGGTCCTACTTTTAACGCAGCAGTCATCACTGTTGCACGAATAGGCAGGCCCGTCCGGTGAAGTATGGCGACCTGACTGAACACCCTCGTTAAGCGGAAGTTTTATACTTCGGCGTCTTTTCTGGTGAGTATGCAGTGGTGGCAGCAGGGGCCCACTTTATTAAAAAGTGGCTAAGCAAGCAGTTGAAACCCTACGGGTGTCCTTATCATCATGCGAACCGCCAGCTCGCTTGCAATCTTCTGACATTAAACAAAAAAAGCATGTCAAACAATAAAATCGAATATACCTCAATGTTTGAAGATTAAAGTCTTCAATCAATGTGTGTTGCCAGTGATGACCTACGGAACCGAGACGTGGTCCTTCACTCCTGGCCGTATGAGGAAGCTCAAAGTCGCTCAGCGAGCTATGGAGCGGGCTATGCTCGGTATTTCTTTGCGTGATAGAGTTCGTAACACGAAGTGGCGATGGGCCGGCCATATAGCTCGTAGAACCGATAACCGTTGGGGAAGAAAGGTTCACGAGTGGCAGCCTCGTACGGCCAGTACGAGTATTGCAGTGTAGGTCGAACTCCCATTAGATGGAGTGACGACCTGTGCCTATGTGCGGGAAGTCGATGGATGCAGGTGGCTCAGGATCGTACTTCATGGCAGTCTATGGGGAGGCCTATGTCCAGCTGTGGACTCAAACAGGCTGAGATGATGATGATGATGTTGAAACAATAAAATCTGTTGCCTAGTAAACTAAAACTGCCCTGAGTCTTTTCAAAAGGCGCCATCAAAATTTTGCGACCGGTCCTCTAGCTGGGCCGGCGCTGATTAAACAGTAATTTGAATACCACTGAACGAGACTAACGATTTATTATGTTAGGTATAAAATAAGTAGAGTTTTAAAGCAAAGTTTACAACTGACTTACTACAGACACGGCGACGGCCACCAGCCTCTCCAGTTCGTAGGCAATTCTCTCCGCGAGGGCCAGTATCCTCTGCCGGTGGTCGTGCGATGTATACGCGGAGTCAGTGAAGTCGTGGGTGCGCTCGACGAGGGCCCGGAGTGTGCTGGCCAGGGCTCTGCGACGGACAGCGTCAGCGCCACCTCTCGCCCGGGCGGTGCGAACTTGCGCCGTCAGACCACGCAGTGCCCCCAACGCGGTGCCCGCCTCCCACTGCGCCGCCTGCAGTGCACCCAGTAACGGACTCTAGTCATTCACATTCATAACGTTCAACAGCGAACACTAGTCGTAATGTTTAATGAAAGTGGTTACTGTTCAAAGTTTGTAATGCATGCGGACAATACTCGATTGGTCTTATTGCCATTTCGCTACGCATGATGCAAAAACAAAATTCCTATGATGTCTATTGTCCTTTGTGGATTTGGTACAGTTATCATATTTGGAAATGACCAGTTCGTTATTGCTTGTATCATTACATAAAAGCTAAACTTTATCTAAATGCTTAAAGTGTGGAGTGTTGAGTAAAATTTGCCTACTCTTTAATTCTAGAGCGTGTGTATATGCTAAAGCTGCCAAAGAAGCTTAGCACACATACCTACTGTATATTTTGAATTCAATATTCATCGGTGTGCCTGTTTAGTAGCTAATACTGAGTATTATTGTAAATATTTAGGCTTGAAGCATCACTAAATCCTACTGAACCTACATTACCCTAAGCAAATTTGAGCGTATTGGATAGCAATTGTGTGGTGCTTAAAAAGACGTACCTATATTCCGAAGTGGCTTCGTTGATTTCAAAGAAATACAGTTAAAATACTGTATATTATCTGTATAAGTGCATATTAATACCATTATTTCCTCCTCATACGACAATTTATTTCTTACCAATATCGTTACATATTATAATGTAAAAGGTTCTAAAAAACTACTCAAACACTTTTTTTTCATACCAATACTTTGGTAAAATTGAAATATGAGGAAGTAAAATGCAATTTCCTAGGAAAGAAACATAATAAGAAAAACGAAAGCATATAATAAACTTTATATAGCAGGTATAAGTACATACAGATATAAAAAGGCACTCGTCTAGACCGTAAATAATACCAACATAAGTTTTTGTACCTGCTCATGACTATCCGAGAAAGGTTGCAACTACAAGAAATAAAAAAAACGAGTTTATGTTGTGAAATATAAAAAATTGGAGTAGAAAGTGGAAAGGATTTGAAGAAATTAAGACAAGACACAAGCAAACGGGGGTACGAAAAGTCCTAAGTTACTTACACATAATTGCCTACATTTCTCTATTACTTACTTCCTCATCCGGTAATTGTTGATTAAATGAATAGCTGCGAATCTAAGAAAGTGACCACAATAAATCTTTTATGAGTGTATAAATAAATATAAAAAAAGATTGCTGCTGCTGACCGACATACCAACCAACATATAAAGAAATCTGGTAGTAGGGGTAATATATAAATGTGAAAAATAATAGGTTATATATGTAAACTTTTTAAGTGAACTTAATAATAAATCGTGAAATGAATACAGAAGTTTTGCGATTTGGTTTATAGGCACGAGCATTATTAAGAAGGATTTAATAAAATATTTAAAACGAGACATATTTTAATAAACTTTAATTTGCATTTATAATTATAAGACAACTGTGTACAGATCTAGCAAGATCGACTGATTTTATGATATAAAAGAGGAATAATCCTTGGACGGCTGTACAGGAAGGAAACATGATAGCGTTGAAACATTTAATGACAGACAATACGCAAATTATGTATATATAGGAAATTCAGTATATATTTCAAGTAAGCCGGAAGTGTTCACGAGGTCACCTGGAAGGAGTGATTCCGTGTGAAGAAGATAGTTTGAAATGGGAAGTAGAGGTTACACTACCTCGCCTATGCTCAGGGCCGTGGATTGGTGTTGTGACATGATGACGGTTATTTAACGATATTATTACAAGACGACTTGGAGTTATGAATCATCAAAATATATTTTCTATACTTCATACTGAATCAATTGTTCAATTCAGTGTTTTATCACTAATATTTTTAGGAGGCTTGTCAAAAATTAGCAGCAATTTGAACTTGTTGCTTGGAATATTACGTTCTAGCTGTCACGTTGGTGAAGCTTATCAGCACCCTTACGGGCCTCATTTGGCATCATTTTCTTTTTTTGAATAAATATATTTATTCCCTAAAATGTGAATGAGCTGAAATTTTTACAGTTTTCATTGTTAAAATATTCATTTCGCCGTTCGTGGAGGCTGGAAAAGGGATTTTAATGGATCGTATTAAAAAAGTATTTCGAGTTTGGACTCAGACAAATGAATAGATAGAGAGTAAAAAGATTTAACAACAAGAACTATAAAACCCATACACCATAAATCCTGTTATATTTCGAAAAATTGCCGAATTGGCCAAGGTAAAGTTTTGGTGGTTTAAAGCAAGCTGAGATTCGCTTGAAATTAGTCACCGAATGTATAGAGAAATTAGCTATGTATAAATTTGGTTGAATTTATCAAAACAAAGATGTAATTATGTAGTACAATCTAAAACACACGTGTGCTGTTGAAACTTCAGCTCTCAGCTCGAGCCCAGTTCGAGAGCGCTATTAATTTTGTATTTACACCACCCTGTTGTTCAATATTTCTCTACATTGCTGCTGCTTATTTTATCATTGAATTAATTAAAGTTCATTTTCAAGAGCAATCAAGAAACGGAAAGTATTATAAGACGCGGCACGGTCTATCCTCTCTGCGTTAAGGAAATAATTATTAATGTATGTCGTTAGCTACACGCATTCGCGTGTTGTGCAATATCGTTAGATTCACGTTCAGTTATGCTGATGACTTTATCCTGGATAAACTTAATCCAATTGACTACGGAGGCGAATTAAACTGATCGATTGATCGAATTACAGGTTATTGTCGTGCTGTTGGATTGATTGTAATTTTTGTATTGCAAACACTAATTTCAAATAGAATCATCTCAACATTCAAATTGTGAATCTTTATACATTAATGGACAAAAACATTCGGCGGTGCGAGATTCGAAACTGCGTCTTCCGGGTAACGCGCTACGCCAAATGTTTGTCCATTTACTCGTATCTATAAAAATTCAGATTTTAACCTTCATCTTGAGTGCAGAGAGTAACCTAAAATAAAATTAATCATAAATTCAAATATTCATCAACTACAACGATAGATCATTGGGAAACTTGTTCAAATATTTTAGTATTTGCTTAGTTAAAAAAATATTAAATAAAATATTTCACACGAGCAGTAGGTACGATGTCGCCTTATGTTATAAGGTCGCGGATAAATATATTACGTAGGCAGTGACTTTTCTTGTAATTACGCTGAAGAAAAATAACCAAGACCCATACAAGGCTTTCCAGTCAAGTTTCCAAATGCAATAAATGAAATAAAAGTAATACTATACTATTTTATGGTATTACTTCCCAAGATTGTAGAGCACGTCAATATTATGGGAACACTAACGGAAGAGATCTGAGATCATGATTAATAGCACAATTACCGATATCTGCAAGGTCCCAAATATAGTTAGGTATTTGGAATAGATTTTTTGTTTTAGAGAATAAGATAACGGATAGTAAAAATTACTTAAGACTTAAGATGTGATTACTACAAACTATTCTTTTTAAATATTTCTATCAAATGATTATATTAAGAAATTAAATATTGTTATTTTGAATCTTGCATTAAGAAATATAATACTTATTAATATTCAAGTTTTATTGTTTATCAAAAAAATCTTTATGAAAAAGTGTTATTGAAAATTTAGATAATTGGTCGCGTATAAGCGTCAAGACACAAGCGATTCATAACACTATAAATATAGTTAATCGTTCCCGGCCATTAATTTGGGCTGGCGTAGCATGGATATTGCCATTGTCTCGGAGCCTAGGTACAATCCATTTGTGTTTGTCTCAAACATAATAGCCTGGCATTACACGAACGGCGGGAGTTAAATGGCGAATGTCAGCAGTTAAGTTCACGGCAGCACGCCTTTGACACGAAGCCGTGAAATGCTGCTGGGCCTAGTGCGACATGGAAAGCGGAGTAGAGTTCACGAGAAAAATAAAGGGAGCGGCTGAATATACGATGGCCAGTATGCAGTATGCTGCGCTTAACATCCAGATAAGTTAACAAAATTGATGCACCTGTATTACGTCACGGGCAACGTACGCACATCAAAATAGATATTAATGCTACGAAAATCAAATTGAAATATTGATAAAAATGTTTATACTTCGTTGTGGTATAAAGTACCCATACATATTACGCTAATAAAAATTGTGAGGAATCCTGCATATTTTGGAAATAATAGCACAAAAAAAAATATTTTTAAGATAAATGAATCGATTCGCAGTGAGATCGCTTGGTGGACTTGATTATACCCTTATAAGAACATTAATAACCTCTGTACAGAGAAGGCATTTTTGCCCAGCAGTGGAACTTATATAGATAAGTATAACATGTATAGTAAAATAAAGTACTTCAACTATTTATTAAACCTTTTAATAAGTTGGTAATTGTCCTTAAAAATTCCTTTTCTTTTTTTTTATGCGAAAAGTTGCCAAACGAGCAGACGGGCCACCTGATGTTAAGTGAATACCGCCCATGGACATCTGCTTCACCCAAGGGTTACAGATGCGTTGACAACCGTTGCTCCGGCTACCTAACTCACCAGACGAAGCGTGAAAGTATTTGTCATAATTCCACTTTACGCTGGTTTTCTGTGAGGTCATGGTACTTACCCGGACGGGCCTGCCCATTCGTGCAACAGCCGAGGCTGCTGCGTGACCCTACCACCTAGGTACCACCATTTCTTTTATACACGTTAAGTTTTTAGTAATTATTTTATTAACTTTTTACTAATATCTTTATGGCTTGCATATATCATCATCATTATTTCCGTCATCATGTTCTAGTTCACTGCTAAACAAAGGTCTCCCCCACAGACTGACATGAATGACAACCGCGATGTCAACAAGTTCTGTTTTTTAGTGAATAGAATGGTATTGATTTTTGAAAAAAAATAAAAAGTTTTTTATTTCAATAAACGATTGTACTACCGAGTCTGAACCTCCTGTGTAAATTTGGGTACCTTTAAAAAAGTCTCCTTGTATATAATTACAAAATTATTTTAGACCGTACGTTGAACAAGTAGTTGTAGTCTATATTACGGCATCTTTTATTAAACGTATAATATTTATATATGAAATTACTCATGATGAGTTATTTGTTGTATCAATGTTATACACCGTTGTAATATAGCTGTATCCATCCCTCCGGTAGAGAACTAGGAGTGATATTGGATTTCAGTATTTCAAAGCCGCACTCTTTTTACAGAATCCTTATCCGTTCGAAGCTTTACTTTTATATTGGCTATGTACCTTTTTGGTTATGTATGAGGGCACGGCAGTTCTAGTTTCTATCGGATAAGTTCAAAAAAATTACACAAGGCCTTTAACCAGATGATATTATGCAGGAGAAGTATTTATATGTGGTCGTATATTAATTATAGTCTTGCGTTTTTTAAATTAAAATACTTTCAGTAAAATGTAAAAGTTAAGACGGTCCTCTTATTTAAAAATATTGCTGTTGCTCAAAATAATTGTTCTTAAAAGCAACATAATATGTGATATAGACAGAACATACATACATGTAAGACCTGAGACTATATTACTTAAATTAAAGCACATCAAACAAGTTTGATACACGAAGAACAAGGTTTTGGACAGGGTTAAGTGTACTATAAAAAGTTGAAGCAACAAACCTCGTGTGATTGCTCTTCGTGGCCGGGTAAGCCATCTCGAACAACGTAGTGTATGAGGTCCATCGCCCGCCTCATTTGACAAAACACTGTATCTCGGTTTTCTCTCGCCGACGCACTGCCTGGGTGTCGCATGCATGTCTGCGATAGCACGAAGTATTATCCATGAAGTTGGCTTTGGCGATATCACATGATTGTAATACTCTCTTCTCTCGTAACAAACCAACCATCGCAATTTATGGTTGGTTTGTTACAATTGTAACTGGATGATTTGAACTTTATTTATAAAATAAAGACATACTACTGGACGCCGAGTGGTCAAATTCGATCATAATTAATTTAAATTATAAGTTTGAACAATATTAATCTTTTCTCAAATACAATAAACAATAAACAAAAGAGTATAATTATATGTGCGTGTGTGACAAATACATCGTAGTGTGTGTAATATATTCTATATTATTAATGTATTTTTTAATGCATTATAAAAAAAATTTAACATTCTGCACTCCTCTATATATTTCTATTTGTATAGAATTTCAAAAGCTATATCATTTTAAATGTTCATAAAATTACACTAAACTAAGAGGTTTCAAAGCCATAGTTATGCTCAATTATCGCGATTTAACCATGGTTAGCGTTATGGATTTATCTAAAATGGGTTTTACGTGTAAATAATTCTTTGTCATCATTCAAGTAGATAAAAGCGAATATAAATACTTATAACATTAATACTGATATGTGATAAATTATGCGGTAATAGTAGGATTACAACACAAGGTACACCCGCGTTTCAGGGCGGTTCTCGCCGCCCCCAGCCACCGATTAGCTAAAAACAGTCGACGGCCATCGGGGTCCAGGTCCGAACCGCAACTTCGACAGCCCTTAGATGACATACCATAGTTAAACGCACGCATGAGCACATGCGCGGCCCTACCCACAACGGAGGGCCCAAACCCGTGGTTTCTGGTTAGCCGACCGGTTCTACGTCAGATGAAGCTTTAATAGTCTCGGGACTGAAAGCAAAAGCATCAGTTATACAAGAAGACAAGTAGGATTAGAGTACTGAATAAGTAGATTTAAACTTTCTATTGATTGAAATGTATACTTTTTCTAAAAATGCTAAATAATTCATTTGCAAAAAACAATGCGATGAAGTTTGATCTATGCCAATACGTTACTATACATTAAATTATTTTCGTAAACAAGGTTTTTGTCATTTTATTTAGAAGAAGAGATAAGAATTCAGACGATTAGTCTCGGCGGGAGGTCAATAAATGAAAGGCATTGTCGCAACGCGTTCATCCGGAAACACTGACATATTACATAGACCATTCCCAAATTATTCCTCTGTCATGTGTCTAAAAGAAGACATTTTCTTTGTATAATTTAATGCTTTTTTTTGTTTTGTATTTAATCTCTTTGTATTTAAAATTATCTAGGTTATATTAAGTGTTACTTTTGAACAACTTAATTTAATACACATTTACATAAAAGTCTCTAAGTGCGGAAGTTCATTGAGGAGAATAAGTCCCCGGTGTCAGTAAAACAATTTAGAATTACGTGATTACCGGAAATGGATACCAAGATTAGACCGGCGCATGCTAAACGTTTGCCACTGGAAGTCGGCTACCGTGATTAAGGTTTTTTATAGGAGTTGCCGAAATTTAGTACATTAGCTTCTTGCAAAATTTTCGTCCCGGAATATTAGCGCTAAAAACGTCCTTTCACTAAAGCTGGGCTAAAGAGATCATTATGCAAGCTTACGTAGAACGGCTTTACTTAGACATAATCTTGGCCGCCAGCAATCTGAATGTGAAAATGCAAATGAGCAAAAGAAGTTCTAAATTATTTTAGAAAATAAGGGTAAAGTTTGATAAATTAATTTTAAGTAATATTATTTTAGCCCTTTTAATAAACTAACTTATTTTTTTAGGAACGGCGGTATTGTTTTGTATAAATAGTTATTTAGAAACATTGAAAATATTTATGAATGTTTCAGGTACATACGTTTTGAAATTGTACGTGTAAATATACAGCAAAATAAAAAAGGAATAAAATACTTTTTAGCTAAAAATACTTCAGTTTACTTCGATGTATCAGCATATTTATTAGTGTTTTATTTTTTAAGTATTTGGTATTATTTATGTGTGCGACATCTTATGATAAAAATGTAACTGATCGTTGTCTGTACATGGAAGATATTTGAGAAAAACTATTATTGGGGGGCCTTTATCACCGCAATAGAAGCCAAAACAATGGTTGTTAAAATGTATGTATTTTTGTCTGTGCGTTTGTGCGCGCTAATCTCTCGATTTGAGTTGACCAATAAAAAAAGTTATATCTACTTATAGAAAAAAAAAAAATAATAGCTACAGTCGAATTGGATGAAGAGACGCACTCGCTCAGGAAGGGTTCCGTACCATTGTCTATAAAACGGCAAAAAAATCATGTCTGTTGTATAGGAGCCCCAATTAAATATTTTTTTAGTGTTTGTTGTTATAGCGGCAACAGAAATACGTCACCTATGATAATTTCAACTGTCTTACTATCACAGTTTATGAGATACAGCCTGGTGGCAGACGGACAGGCTATCTGTCTTTTAGTTTGAACTCGTAAATCTCAGGGACTACTGGACCGACTTGAAAAATTCTAGCACTTTTAGATAGTCTATTTATCGAGGAAGGCTTCTTTTAAAGTACGATATAAAATATAATACATGCGAGCGAAAAGCTAGTACGTCAATATTTTCGCACAGTTAGGATATCGACCGCTTAGCTCTAGCATCTAGGCGCGTTGCGAGGAAGGTGCAGGTTTGAATCCTAACAGCGGATAAATACTTTTCTACCACCAGCGAGCGCGTCTCTAGCTCCCCTCCATCAAGCTTCACAAGCTGGCGTTCACCGAAGGGCATTCGTGGTCGGTGGCGGTTCCCCGTCGCACTCGTGGGAGTTCTGCTTTATTCTTTGTTTTCTTAATTGATTCAGTTCAAATGATAGAGTGATTAATAAAAAAAAGTGTTTGATGTGAAGTGCTGTGGTTATTTATTTTTAAATTGGAATAAATAAATTATTCTGAATTTAAAAAAACACCACTTGCATAAGTGGCTTCATTTAATTGCGGTAGTACGTAAGGGGAACAGCGTCTAAATTAGTTCAGGTTTATACTTTAATTTTTAGTTCAGATAACGCGCAGGTGAAGAAAAGGTTTAAAGGGTTATGTTTGTAAAACGTCCTTACAACGCAGGATAATGTTAAAGCGAGGGCGGTGTTTTTAAAAAAATACATAAAAAGATATATAAAAGTGTACGGAGCATACCTTAGAAGACGTGAGCAGCATGAGGGTGGAGCGTTCGAGAACGTTCCGCGCGGCCGCTACCTGCGCCCTCCGCCTCTCGTCCCGGAGGTCCGCCCGCCTCTCGGCCGTGAGCCGCGCCAACTCCACCATGCCCCCGCCGAACTCCGTGAACGCACGAACGAATTCCGCGAAGTTCGACACCGACTCTAGACGGTCCAGTGAACGCGCCACCTGAACGCATCGAGACGATTTACAACCGCCCCGGAAACCCTCGGGTAGGTACAGTAGGCATCAAAAGTAATTATGCGATCATTTGTTGTTTGCTATCTCTATTCTGCCTTTGTTAACCTTTGCTGAGGTTATCAGATCCCAAGGACTTCACGTTTCCAATTGTCCAAGTCAACATTTTCTTATTTGAAATCTACCAATTCATAAATGTCCAGATAAAATTTCTGGCTCTTTTTGTTTTAAAACAACAATAAAGTAACAACAAAAGGGACTTGCCAGTGCTGACCTAGTCATTTCCCCAGTACAGTACGCATTTCAGTAAGGCATTGCTTATTTTTTGAAATAATCTCTGTCGACTTTGGCTGTCAGGTACCGTGAAAGAATTTCTTTGTCACGTGATTTTTAATCGACTTTTGAATTTTATAAAAAAAATTGTAGCTAAAGCTATATTATTTTTTTCCATAAAGTTGAAAAAACAAACTTCTCTTCAATTAGATATGCAGCTGACTGTACGCCAAGTTTCATTGCAGAACTTATATCATAAAGTGTATCTGAGTAAGTTTTAATACAAACTTTTGAAATGAGACAAGGACACACAAGATTTGTAATATAATTCTTGAGTTATTTCAAATAATTACTTTTGTAGGTATATTTAAAGTAACTGTTCTATTAAAATTTATAGTAATAATAACTATTACAGATATTTTTACATTTCACTTTTGGCTTTTTGATCAATTTCTTGGATTCTTAACAGAGGCATTTTAAAATTCTGAACGTGGAATGTAATCAGGTCCGGGAATAAATTACCTTCAAGTCAAACACACCACGACCTTCGGCGTTTAAGCTTAACTCAATTCATATTTATAATTATATATATTTTTAATTATACTAGCGACTCGCCTCGGCTTCGCACGGGTGCTATGTATTATACATATAAACCATCCTATTAAATCACTCTATCTAGTAAAAAAATCGCATCGAGATCCGTTGCGTAGCCATAAAGATCTAAACATACATAGGGACAGACCGACAGCGGTACGGCTTTGTTTTATACTATGTAGTGATTTATAATAATTGGTACCTTGTCTTTGGCGAGTAGCAGCTGTCGTACGACCACCATGTCTGCCAGCAGGAGCACCCTCGTGACAGCCGCGAGCAGAGCGCGCGCCGCGGACACCATGCCGGCGCCGTCAGCCCCACCGCACACGCGCTCGATAGCACGCCCTGGGACCAGGGACGGATTTAGGCGAGGGCAACGGGGGCAACAGCCACGGAGCCTCCACAAACGAGCCCCCACTTCGGGACTTCGGAAAAAATTTTCAAATTCAGACTATAGTCTCAGACTAGTAAATAATAGTAAACAACTTTTCCTTTCATATTTTTTTTCGCATTTTGCTTTTACCTAAAGTACTTTGTATAAACATGATTATATTAATTATGAACAAAAGTCAATAGAAAATAATTTGGGGCCAAGGGGCCTCCAATCCTTTGTTGCCTCGAGGCCTCCAGAGCTCTCAATCTGGCCCTGCCTGGGACAGTTTGAGACGTTGTCTAGTTAACACAACCCCTTTTTTACGTGGGAAAAATCATTTATGAATCCCCTAATGCCAGATCGAGGATGCGGCTGGGTATCCACTAAAAATGCGCTCCAGTCTTTGCTGCCACTCGACGATGACGTTTAAGCGCAGGACACTCTGCGTGTCCCCAATTCCTGTGCAATGACGTGAGTATTTCAGCTTCCAGATCATTATAATCTCGTATGGTTCTTATGGCGGCTCAGGAAGTTGGCTAAGACGGGAGCCCCGTACAAGGCCATGGAACTGTTGATTCCATAGTTAACACAGTCCCGAGTCAACTGAGATAAGCGGCCACGAAGCTTAGTTGGCTGGAGCATCTGGGCGCGTTATCCGGACGACGAATGTTCGGATCATTCAATTGATGACAAATGATATCCGCCGCCCATGGTACCCCTTAAAAAAGTAGGCCCTGGTCACCTCACTACCAGACGAAACGAAACTAATGCCAAACAAATATATAATAATAGCAGCCATCACTATTATTGTAAACCGTTATCAATTTGAATGATACTTAATATAATTCTAATTGTCTTTGTTTATTTATAGTTTTTTACGCAATCTTGATCTTTCATACAAAGTTTTACACAAGTAGACGTTATATACAAAACAACAACGAATAGTCACATGTAAAGTGACTATGTAATTTGAAGGCGTTCCTTTAAAAATGCTTAAAATAGCTGTAGACAGCTTATACAAAAAGAGTAGGTATCTGTAACAAACTTGAGATATAATAGGATTGTTTTCTTTTTAAAAAAGTCTACGGATTTGAGTAGATCCCACATAGGTGTACGACGTTGAAAAGAAATGTGGAAATACGAAACAAAAGATTGAAACAGGGGCGGAACTTCACCTTTCACAGGGTTAGTTTGTAACCTCACCGCCATCATTGATTATTTTTCTTTCAGAGATTCAGGTGAAAGAGAATGTTTTTTCAGAAAATGACAGCCTATTTTATTTTTTTTAATCACCCTGCCTTCTATTTAAATTGGAACGTTCTTAAGTAAAAATCCTATTTATCGTTGTCATGCCGTATGTATTTTTATCAGTTTATATGAAGATACGTGTAAATATTCGTTTTTGTTTTTTTTATGCTCGGTTTGTTTTTGGTAATGGATTTTAGAAATACTAATAACAAAACTATAGTGACAGTAATTATTCGTAATATTCCTTATTAAATAACAGAAAAGTTCCTCAATCTTCATAAGTTGTTTTGTTGCCTCTTTTACACAAAAATATATAGGATTATTATTAATAAAGATATGGTGTAATTTTATAATAAATTGATGATACATTAGAATTATATTTGTAACCATAACAACAGTAGCGATATGTTAAAAACATATACGTAACGAAGGAAATTATTTAATTTCTCATTTATCAAAGTGTACATAAGATTGGTAAAATTTATTACTATCTCGTTCTTCACGTGCGTAATATCCGAACGACCGGATCAACTATAAATCTTCGGAAAATGTTCATGAGGGTCAAGACTCCAGTAAGTGAAAAACATTTACAAGAATGACATTTTTGTTTTAAGAAAGTAAATAACGAATGAAATGAGGATAACGTATTTATTTCAAAAATATTTTTGTCATCGAAGCATAAATATTTGAAATAAGCTTGTTTAAAATGTTCGCATTTAAAACTGTATATATTTATATATTTTCTTTTTCTTTCACATTTTTACAAAATGTTCTCTAGTCCCAAACTAAGCAACGATTATACTATGGGTACTAGATAACTGATATACATGCTTAAAATTGAAAAAAAAAAAAATGAATGTTATAAATATGCAGACACTGCAAAAACACTATGTTCGTCACATAGTATTTTCCAGGAGTGGGGATCGAACCCTCACCCTTTAAAGCAAAAGGCAGGTTCACCACTCACTAGGCCAATCGGATCGTCTACTTTCTTCTCTACTTCTACTTTACATGAAATATATTCCATTCCCTTGAGATTTTGGATAAGGGTGGTTAAGATTCCTTATTTAGGTGTTCAGTAGAGCGCAACAACCCTCTTCTCATAAGCACCTCTTGGTGTGTTGAAAATAATGATACCTTAAAATGTACAGAACACAGTAAGTAAATAGTTCTACTGTTAAAAAGAAAGCATGAATATACAAAATATTCTATAAGATAACACTTAATATATTAAAAGTTATGTTTAGTAAATAAGGCTTAATAAGATATTTATAAATCCATAAAGTTTTACAAGAGAAAACAGTTATTTTCATTTTTATACCAAACTTTAGGCGTTTGTATCATACCGTTAATAGTTTGAAAATTATGGACATTATTTACTGTATTCCTTAAGTATGACGCGGTCGGTACATTAATAAATATGCTTAGGTAATTGTATTTCTGAACATATTTGGCCATCAGAATTTTTCCTATTTCAGAATGAGCTCTGATAAATATTTTATCAGAGCTCATCATTTTTTTCAAGAACAATAAACAGTAAAAGGCAGTATTTCCAGTATTTGTTTGAACTTTAAACTAATTTACAACACAATCGATTGAAAAACGTACTGCAGCAGCGTTTTTTTTGTCATTCATACAAAAGGAATACTTAATTTTAAATTTTAAGTACAATTTTGTCATTTCAATTTAATAATATAGGTGAACTTCTTGTACTCTTGTAGTCTCATTAAAATAAATTAACAAACTGGCAAAATATGAAAAAAAATTGGCAAATTTCCATTCATCTGGTATCCCTCAAATGACTCACACATAGATCGTACGATACTTCACTAATTCACTTTCGACATGCGTGGTGCGGAGTCCTGTTATTTGACTAGTCCTTGTCACCATCTAATGATTCCAAAATAATTACGTTTTTACTTGCAATACCTGGTCTATAATACGCCAATGATATGGCGAGTGGTGTGTGCCGCCTTGGTGCCATGATGGATCTTGTGTTCGAAAATGACGCGCTATTAGCATGGCACAGAAACAGCGAAACATAAAAAACAGTGAACTGACTTTTTTTATATTCATATTGAAGTCTTCTTTAATTTGAATTATGAGTAATATGATTTCATTCTATATAGAAAGTAATTTCATAGGTACATAAATATATCAAGTTATAAATTAAAGAAACAGACAATAATGAAAGTTTTTTCCAAAATTAAAACACTTCATAGAACTTTAAACACGCTTTGAATGCTTTTAAATGAGTGGAAATTCGATTTCACTAATGCGCTCATAAATAATGTGGAGATATCAGAGTATGCGCTGATGTGGTTCGGCAAGATAAACGGTATTTCATAAATGATGTGCTTTTTAGTGTCACAATTTGAATAATATATTCTCAACATAATTTCAAATGTAAGCGTTTTAAACGAATAATAAATCTATCTTTGCCAAAGCTTATCTAATTGCCACCAGCAGCTTTCCAAATCGTAGCTCTATCTGGTCAGGGTGCACCCTACGCGTATATTATATTATACCCACCCTTGAGAAGACGCGTTATTGGGAGGGGCCCAATAACGCGTCTTCTCTAATTGATCGCCTAAGCTGGAAACGCGAGCAGTTCAAACTATATCGATTACTTTAGTTTTCCGGCCGATTTCTGCATTGAATCTTTTTTTAATTTCCCTGATAAGACCGGGTGCAACGTACAAGTCGAAGCGTTGTCATCAAGCATTATTGTATGGGCGACGCCTAACGTTAGTGCTCTCTCAAAATTGATCTTGTTTTGAATTTATAGTACAACAGGTGTACTTCCGAACAATTATAATAATAACAAATCATTCCAATTATATATTTACGATATACCCAGACGATATCTATATTACAATGAGATAATTGTTGATCATCTTGTGACTCTCAATTAGAATTTATGACGAAAGATCGATCTACGCACGCAAGACTTTACGGATTTTCTATTTTTGAGTTTAAGTAATCACGTCTCCGGGAATCTCACCGGGAATACGGTGTTTAATGACCTAGAGTGACTGTTAAAATTTAACATATCCTCGTATATCAAATATTAGTAATCATATAGTTTTTATAACTTTTTTCAATGCATTTTTATGTTATAAACCTAGACTTACAGGGAGACTTTTTTCTCAAATTTACACAGGAGGTTCAGACTCGGTAGTATAATCGTTTATTGAAAAAAACAAACTTTTTTTCAAAAAAATTACCATTCTATTCCCTAAAACAACAACAGAATTGTTGACAACGCGATAGTCATTCATAAATACCTAAATTATACTGTTCACGCACACAAAAGAACTTGTGTGCGCGTTAGTTATGAATTATCGCGCGTTAAATAAATGAGTTGCGTATAAATCAAGCACTTTTGGAGATAAGTTCAAATGAATCTAAATAATTACTTACAAGTGATTTAAAATATTTATCATTTTTATATAACATTATTTATATTTAGAATTATATATAAAAGAAAAAAAAATGGATACACTTAGAAAAGCCTCTCTGTATAATGGTACTCAGTGTTATTGTCAACTATTTTAAACACATTTAAAAAAAAATGATATCTGAGGACACACGTAGCAGACGTCATTAAGCAAACTTATTTTAAATCATATAGTTTTTATAACTTTTTTCAATGCATTTTTATGTTATAAACCTAGACTTACAGGGAGACTTTTTTCTCAAATTTACACAGGAGGTTCAGACTCGGTAGTATAATCGTTTATTGAAAAAAACAAACTTTTTTTTTTCAAAAAAATTACCATTCTATTCCCTAAAACAACAACAGAATTGTTGACAACGCGGTAGTCATTCATAAATACCTAAATTATACTGTTCACGCACACAAAAGAACTTGTGTGCGCGTTAGTTATGAATTATCGCGCGTTAAATAAATGAGTTGCGTATAAATCAAGCACTTTTGGAGATAAGTTCAAATGAATCTAAATAATTACTTACAAGTGATTTAAAATATTTATCATTTTTATATAACATTATTTATATTTAGAATTATATATAAAAGAAAAAAAATGGATACACTTAGAAAAGCCTCTCTGTATAATGGTACTCAGTGGCATTGTCAACTATTTTAAACACATTTAAAAAAAATGATATCTGAGGACACACGTAGCAGACGTCATTAAGCAAACTTATTTTATACTGGAAACGAGAGATAAAACTTTTGGCTGTTTAAAAAGGTAGGGTAAAAGAATTTCTAATAACTTTTAAGAGTTGTTGATGAAGACAGAGTGTTCAGCATGAAAACTTTCCGAAGAAACAAGGTACAGGAAATTTTATATATTTTTTGTGAACTTAGCGTACGTTTTTTCTAAATTTTATGTTTCCAACAAATTGTTTCAGCGCAAGCGATGTAGGGCTCGTTTTTACAAACAATTCATAATTAGCCTTAAGGACTCGTAAAAGGGCTTTACTTTTCCTATTTCTTTAATACTTCAGTTCTTATTTTTTTCGTAAAAGACTATAAAAATTTACATTAGAAATATGCGAAAACCACCAACACTGATATGCAATACATTAAGTATGGTACCTCGAAGTAAGACGGATTCTAACAATTTCTGGAGTACTAATAGTCCTGATTCCCGCTCTTAAAAATTCGGTCATAATTTCGTCATCACCTAGTGTTTGTTTTTTCTTAAGCTGTTTCATAGCCATTCTAATCTCTTACAGTCGGGGATATATAGCTTAGCTCTGGTGTACTGAGCTGCGCTGACAATGCAATTTCGTTTCAAGGTGTGATACTGTCCGTGAAACCTCTTAAGCTCTCTTAGAATTTCCGGTTACGATGTGATGATAGCCATCACCGATCTTTAGTTTCGTCATTTGGCTCTTCCCATTATGTGAATGCTTGCATTGAATGAATTCAAATACGAAAACGACTACGAGTTGAACTTATTTTAATATTTATTCCATTTAATAAAAATAAAATATTTAATAAAAACATTTCTTTCTATACAGTGATCTTCAGTTCGATAGCTTGTACAAGTTAAGACTATTATTGCAATGCCCTGGGGCAATCACTCGGTCACAGCCCAGTAGATTTCGAACCGTATTTGAGACACTTCTTTCGCTTTTTCATTGATTAAAAAATGAAGCGTTGGATGCTTTTGAATAAAATTTTAATGTATTGATTATCATTAACATAAGTTTAAGTCAATGTTCTTAAATAATGATAGGTAATCATAATCATAAATAATAAAAGCATAAACTATTTTAAAGAGTAAGTTGTTGCGTATATGGTAAGGATATTTGAGTAAGAATAACTAAGCTAACAAAATAAATGATAGATTCCTTAAATGAGCAGTATTTAATTGTGAAATCGAACAACAATTATAATAATATGTAACCAAGCCCTAATAACCCCTTCTTTCTAAACATATATACCGATGATTTTTTTGAACAATTTTCTAATAAATTTTACATTAATTGCTACATTAAAAATTAAACGCTAAAATATTTTTATTGATAAGACAATAAAACATTTAATTTAGACGTTATTGTATAATATGTATAAATTTTAAAAAAATTAAATAGAATCTGCATAGTTAAAAAATTGGAGACATTTAAGTATTAAAAAGAGAGTTATCGTTGTTATAAACTCAATAAAGTCCAATCAAGACTATAGTACTACCGATACGTCTAGGTTAGAAACAAGAGCAAGAGACTTTTGTAAAACGTATTCACTAGCGGGTGCCAATACAAATGACAACTTATGCGCAGTGCTTTCCGCAGTATGTAACCACACACTGCGTTGCTGTATATTTTTACCCCTCCCTAACTTTCACTCAAGGAAATAACTTCATCGCGACGGGTGTGTTTCGATTTATGTACAAACTGATTTGTATATAAAAAATAATTGACACATTTGTGTCAAATATTTTTTCTATTATAATACAATTTCGTAAAATAGAAGAGTTTGCTTTATCGTAATTATGTTAGTTGGTAGTTGTTACAATCAGGTAGACTTTTGGTCCCAGTACCTGAAGGATTTAAATGATTTGAAATTTTCAAAAAACATATTAATTTTCTGCGTTTGTAGACGCAAAATCATTAAATATATATATATGATTAGATATTAACAAGTTGGTTGGAATGGGAAGGCAATGATGTTGCTCCTTTTAACACATTTAATACTCATTTTAGAGTTGAAATAAAATTTCAATGCAAAGTACATTTTGTGATGAGTGAAGGATGAGTGAAGAGAATGAGGCATCTAAATTTTCAAACACTGCCATTGTCCGCAAAACACAGTCGTTACTAGGTTAAGTTTATCAGTGGATTCAGATGTAATTTGAAACTTAGTGTAGACCCAGGTGTTAGTTTGTGAATACTGAGAATTTTTCGTGTATCAGCATCAACAATTAGTACGAAGAAGTTAGCTTGTATCGTTTACGAGGTAACGAATAATATTTGATTTATTTGTCGTAGCAATCTAAAAAAATATGCCATCATAGATTCTAGAATTATTATTAGTCAATTTTCGTTTTGTCCTGTAAAAACAATCTAATTAAATTTTAAAAATTTCAAAGCATTTCGTGCAACACTTTTTGAGTATTTTTCCACGGTGGTTGGGCCACACAGCCTCGGCAGTTGCACGAAAGGGCAGGCTCGTCCGGGTAAGTACCACGACCTCACAGAAGACCAGCGTAAAGTGGAAGTATGACAAATACTTTCGCGTTTCGTCTGGTGAGTGAGGTAGCCGGAGCCCAATTTTCAAAAGGTTGTCAACGCATCTGTAAACCTCGGGTGTAGCAGATGTCCATGGGCGGCGGTATTCACCTACCATCAGGTGAACCGTCTGTTCGTTTGGCAACTTTTCACGAAAAACAATTTCTTTGTGTAAATCGCTTGTACCAAGTAGCTTCATTTGCCAATGAATAGGCTTACGAGGGCACCTATTGTGACATGATTTGATCTCACCTATTAACATAAACGTCTGGTGCTCTGTTT